TGAGAGTAATAAAGGTAAGTGCAGCTGCACTGACTGCCACAGCTAAGCATTTTTACATAGGTACTCTCATTTAACCATCATAAGTCCTACAGGGGCTAAGTTCCATTACTATCCCCACTTTACAGACTATGAAACTGCGGCTCAAATAGGTCGTGAGATTTGTCCCAAAACAATAAAACTAGTATGAGGAAAAGCCATTATGTAAACTCAAGACCATCTGATTCCAAAGCCAATGTTCTTAGGAAAAGCTATCCTAAAATTCATAGGAATTTCAAGGGACTCTCAACAACCAAAACAATCGTAGGGAAGAACACAGTTGCAGGAGTCACACTTTCCCATTACAAAAACTTACTACAAAGCTACAATATAATCAAAACAGTGTGAAATTGGCCTGTGCACAGACATGCAGAGGAGAGAACCCAGAAATAAATCCTCACACATGTGGTCAGGTGGTTTTCGACAAGGGTGCCAAGACCATTCAATGGGGAAAAGGCAGTCTTTTCAACACACAGTCACAGGAAAACGAATCCATAAGCAAAAGAATAAAGTGGGACCTTACCTAAAAGCATATACAATAACTACCTCAAAACTGACCAAAGACTAAAAGAGCTAAAACTCTTCTAAAGAAAACACAGGAGGTAAGCTACATACATTAGATCTGTCCATGGTATCTTGGACATGACTTGAATTTGATCTTTTGGATAAGGCACTCAACAAAAGATAGACAAGGTGGGCTTCATCAAAATGAATAACTTTCTGCATCAAAGAACACTGCCCAGAGTAAAAAGGCAGCCCACATAATGGGAGAAAAGTATTTGCAGATCATGTATCTGACTGATAATGGATTAAGATCCAGAATATATAGAAAACAGGATCCTAAAATTAAACAACAACAAAAAAAATTTGAAAATGGGCAAAGGACTTGAATGGAATTTCTCCAAAGGAGGACACACAAATGGATAATAAGCACATGAAAAGATACTCAACATCATTAATTAGGGAAATGCAAATCATAACCACAATGAGTTGTGACCTCACACCCATTAAGATGGCTACTATTGAAAAAAATAAAACAAAAACAGAGGATGGTGAGAATACAGAGAAATCTGGAGTCTGTGCACTGTTGGTGGGCACATAAAATAGTGGAAAACAGTATGATGATTCCTCAGAAAATTAAAACTAGAATCACCATGTGACACAGCAACCCCACTTCTGGGTGTACTCCACAGAGATGAAAGCAGGGACACCAACACACATTTGTAGCACATGTTCAGCAACATCACTCACAACAGCCAAAGGTGGAAACAAACTAAATGTTCAGTAGATGGATAAACTATGTGGCAATACATACAAGGAATATCATTTAGACCAAAAAGGAATGAAATTCTGATAGATGCTGTATCATGACATTATCTAAGTGAAATAAAGCAGTCACAAAAGGACAAATATTGTTTTATCACTCTCCATATATGAGGCACCTAGAACAGGCAAATTCACAGAAAGCAAGCAGAATGGTGGTTGCTGGAGGAGGTGAGAAGGGGGAGTTACTGTTTAATGGGTGGACAGTTTCAAATTGAGATGATGAAAGAATTTCTGAAGCTGGATGGCAATGATGCACACAACAATGAACAAACCTAATACCACTGAATTCTATACTTTAAATGGTTAAAATAGTTTTATAAAAAAAGAAGATATACAGAGAGAGATTACTTCACATATATTAGGGTGGCTATTACCAAAAGAATAGAAAATAACACGTGTTGGTGAAGATGGGGAGAAACTGAAACCGTTGGGCTTTGCTGGTGGGAATATAAAATGGTGCAACTGCTGTGGAAAAACAGTATGGCAGTTCCTCAGAAAGCTAAACACATAATTATCTTATGATCTGCTTGTGGGTATATAAATTGAAAGCAGGGACCAAAGAAACTGAAAGCACTAACATAAAGAGATATTTGTATCTCTTGTATCATGTATAGCGTGTACCTGATATGTTCACAGAAGCATGATTCGCAACAGCCAAAAGCTGGAAACAATCCAGTTATTTACCAGGTTGTCTACCAATAAAAGAAAGATGAACAAGATGTGGTCTATACACTCTAACAGAATATTATTCAACCTTAAAAGGGAATGAAGATGTCAATTATATGTATATCTATTTATCACTCTCCATATATGAGGCACCTAGAACAGGCAAATTCACAGAAATCAAGCAGAATGGTGGTTGCTGGAGGAGGTGAGAAGGGGGAGTTACTGTTTAATGGGTGGACAGTTTCAAATTGAGATGATGAAAGAATTTCTGAAGCTGGATGGCAATGATGCACACAACAATGAACAAACCTAATACCACTGAATTCTATACTTTAAATGGTTAAAATAGTTTTATAAAAAAAGAAGATATACAGAGAGAGATTACTTCACATATATTAGGGTGGCTATTACCAAAAGAATAGAAAATAACACGTGTTGGTGAAGATGGGGAGAAACTGAAACCGTTGGGCTTTGCTGGTGGGAATATAAAATGGTGCAACTGCTGTGGAAAAACAGTATGGCAGTTCCTCAGAAAGCTAAACACATAATTATCTTATGATCTGCTTGTGGGTATATAAATTGAAAGCAGGGACCAAAGAAACTGAAAGCACTAACATAAAGAGATATTTGTATCTCTTGTATCATGTATAGCGTGTACCTGATATGTTCACAAAGCATGATTCGCAACAGCCAAAAGCTGGAAACAATCCAGTTATTTACCAGGTTGTCTACCAATAAAAGAAAGATGAACAAGATGTGGTCTATACACTCTAACAGAATATTATTCAACCTTAAAAGGGAATGAAGATGTCAATTATATGTATATCTCAAAAAAATTAATTTTTAATGAGGGAATGAAGTTTGAATTCACGCTGTGACATGAGTGAACCTTGAAAACATTATGTTAAAAGAAGTCAGATGTGATAGAACAACTATTGTATAATTCCACTTCTATGGGGTGCCTCTAACAGGCAAATTCACAGGGACAGATACAGATTAGAGGTTACAGGGCTGGAGGGTGGGGGCAAAGGAAGCAACTTACTTAAAAGTTAGTTTCTATTTGGGGTGATGAAAGCCTTTTGGAAATAGATAATGGGTGGCTACATTATGGTGTGTATGTAATCAGTGCACTGAATTTTACACTTAAAATGGTTCAAATGGCAAATTTTATTATAACATATTCATCACAACTTTGTAAAAATTTGGCAGTGTAATATATGAAAATAATTAAATTACGCAACTTAAATGGGTGATTCGTAGGGTGTGTGACTTATAGCTCAGCAAAGCTGTTTTTAAAAAAGGTAACAGTGGTGGCTAACATTTAGTGAACACTTTCTGCACACCAGGCACTGTTCTAACGGCATCAGGAGCATTACATACACCACAAAACAACCCATGAAATGGCTACATCACTTAACCTCATTTCATGTATCAGGAAATTAAAGTTAGTTAGGTAATTTGTCCAGTGTCACTGAGTCAGTGGAGGAGTCAGGGATTCAAATCCTATCAGATTCTAGAGCGCCTACAGTTACCCACTCTGCCACACAGCATCCCACAGTGTGACAGGAAGGTTATAACAGAGGCTGACTAAGTGAATGAGATGAACAAGATATTGTGAGAAGCTAGCAAAAAAAATTAATTCTAAACGCTTGGTATATAGGTAGTAGAGTCCATCAAAGAATGACTTATGATGTTTAAAATTTCAGAACTTTCTAATAGTTTGAATCTTAATACAACTCTGAGTTAAACTATTACTATCAGTTTATACGTTTAAACACAGGCAGAAGAATATAACCTTGCCCAAGTATCTGCAGGAAGCCTTGAGTTCTTTTAGTAGCCTCCCACCCCCTCCCCTGGCTTGACAGGTCTCCTCTGAAGGGCGACGAGAACCTAGGATTCTAAATGTAGGCAAGAAAAATAAACGCAAGTCTGGTAACAGCATTCTATAAAGGAGGGCGCTACACGTGTCCTGAAAGAGAGACCTGGCAACAGGTCTACAGGTTAGGTACCTAGTTAGGGGCCGGTTAATGAGATAAGGCTCATCAGGTCCAACCTCTGCGTGTTCCACCAAAACGGTAACAGGCCATTCGTCACTTTAGGCAGTGCCAGCCCTGTGGTCGGTCACTCCTCAGTTCTTGACACCTCTCTCCTCTCCCTACAGTCCTCACAAGTTTGCTAATGTTGGCATTATTCAACTATTCACATGGTGGCATTACTCAACAGAAGTCGAAAACTTAACAAGCCTCGGGCACGATCCAGAGTTCCTAAAATGAGCCAGGTGACCAGGCACACCCGAGTCTACTGGACTTCTTCACTTAGACCCAGCAGTTCCGACCTTCCCGAGCACACCTGGACCACGCAAAAAAAATGCAACTACCTGACGGTTTCTGGACCCTCCAAAGTCAGACCCTTCGTTTTTATAGAAATGCACTCCACAGGTGAACCCAGCAGCACAGCACCAAATTCAAGTTGAGAGAAACTGAGTAACAACGCCGAGGGAATCGCAGAGTGAGCGAGAGGAGACAGCCGTCTGGCCCGCATTCGCCCAACGGCGCAGAACGCGCGGACCGCTCCCCCGCCGCCAGGGTCCACGGCCGCGCGCCGGGGCCCGACCGAGCCCACCCGCGTCGGCCGCGCCTGAGGGCGAGGCCGCGGCAGAGGCAAGGGCCCCGTCTCGAGCGACGCCTCAGAACCCGAGCAGGTTCCCGCGAACGCAGGAAAACGGGGGCCAGAAAGGGCCCGCCTGGGGCCGGGCAGTCCCGGAGCCCCGGACCGCCACCACGCGCCACTCCGCGACCCCGCACCCGGCTGCCCGGGGCCGGACCGGCACTGCCACAGGCGCGGCGGCGCCTCCCTTTCCACGCCGCCGTTCCGCTCGCCGCCTCACGAGCGAGGCCGCGGCCGTCCCGCGACCCCGAGGCCGCGCGGGCCCCGCAGGCTCCGGCACGCCGTCCCTCCGCGCAGGCCCTTACCGAGGCAGCGCGGCCCCCGCGGCCCGCTCCTCCTAGCTTGCCGCCGCCGACACCGACCCCGGGCCGCGAACACCGGAACTTCCTCCGCGCCGGGCCGCGGCCTCCACAAAGGCGCCCGCCGCCGCCCTCCGCGCTCGGCCCGCCGGGAGATGGAGGCGCGGCCGGGAGCGCGGACTCTACTCCCGCCGTGCCCCGCGCCGGGGGCGGGGCGCCCCCGGGGGTGGGGCGAGGTGTGGGGAGCGCCGTTGGCCGCGTCCAATCGGAGGGCGCGCTTCCTGCGTCTGGGGGTGTGCTTCGGCCTCCGCCACCTGTCAGTCGCGGCTCGCTAGGGAGGCGAGCTGGGGTTGCGATCTTTCGGTGGCTTGGCTTCGCAGGATCCCATGTACAGCCCCTGTCTGCCGGGCTCGAAGCCGCCTTGTTGTCCGTTAGTGTGAAGGCGGTGGAAGGGTGCCTCCCGGGGAGGGGCTGCTGGCCCACAAGGGCACCCGACTCCTGACACCCCAGCCCAGAAGCTTAGCCCTTTTACCCAAGACCCAAAAAGGGGTGCGAGAGAAGCACTTGAATTAAGAGAAGCAGTAGTTACAGAGGCCCGTCCCCTTTTCCTTCGGATGGGCTACCAGGCTAGGCATCCCCAGCTCAAGAATACCTGGTGGGTATCATCTATATTAAAGGTTAGTAGCCCTGCCTTAGAAGGAAAATCCACCCAGCTTCCAGAGGGCCTTGCTGGCTCTCAGGCAAAACATCTGACCAGGAATGACTCGTGCGAGGTCGCAGAGGAACTGGAAAGGTATCTGCAAATCAGCAAGCTAGTGGTAAATGGGGCAACACAGCTCTCAGGCTGCAGCTCACTTCCGGAATCCCCTTCCAGCTAATAGTCTTCAAATGGCCAGCGCCAAGCTTCCAAGTGGATTGTCTGTTGAGATGCTTGATGGTTCCAGCCACTGGTGTCTCTATCAGTGGACCCCTGGGGAAGGTAACCTGATTTTGTAGCCTAAATTCAACATCATGGAACCAAAGAAGCCTGCTTCAAAAACGCCTATAAAGCATTCAAGCCTCATCTGTAGAGAAAGGAGGTTGATGGATTAAGTAGTCTTTAGAGTTACCGTCTCACTTTTCAGTCCTCTTGTCTGGAAGTCATTCGCTTTATTCAGCAACTATATAAAGCGCCTGCTGTGTGCCAAGCACTGAGTCAGGTACTGGGGATACAGGAACAAACAAAGCTAACAAACTTTGCTGCCCTAGTGGAGATGGGGGTGGGGGCTGTTATTGGAGACTGCCAAAAAACTAAACAAGATATACAATCTCTGCTGAAATGAGTTTGGTTTCTGTAAGGAAGGAGATGGGAAGCTCTTGGCGGGCTCTAAATAAAATAATATCACAACTTGACTTCCGTGTTACTAGGAGCCCTCTGGCTGCTGTACGGAGAACAGGCTGAAGGTGGGAAGGACAGAAGCCTAGCAGCTAGTTAGACTGACTGTTGGACTAATACAACCACAGAAGGATGGTACTTGGACCTGTATGGCCACAGTGGAAACGAGACAGGGTGGAATGAGGGAAGAGGGAGGAATATGAAAGGAACAGTGTTGGTAAGAAGAGCAAGAGCTCAGTTTCGGATAGGTTGAGTTTTCAGTGCCTTGTAGGCAAGTGAGAAGGAATTGGCAGTTGGATACATCAGTTTGGAGTTCAGGACAGAGGTCAGGGTTAGAGATGCCAATATGGGAGCTACCAGCATATTGCTGGTTCTGGTATCTAAAGCCATGGGCTCAGGTGAGATAGCCAAGGGATGAGGGAGTGAACAGAAATGAGTAGACTTCCAGCCCTGAGCCTAGGGCACACATGGAAGAGAAGAAACAGCTACATACAACTGTGGGTGTTTTGGCTTCGCTTTCCAAAGTGGACCGTTCTTGGTGGGTCTCTCCCTTATCAGATAGTACTTTATCCTCTAAAGTGTAACTCATATTAAGGAACTAATTATCCTTGCCTTATACCCAATCTCCTTGAGCAATAATTTCTACTCTTTATCACATTGTATCCCTGACGTAGTCCTTGTAAGTTTGTTTCTACTGCCTGAAATTAGAAAGTATGAACTACTTAAGAGGGGCTACCCCAGAGCAGTGCCCTCACCTGGACTAGAGAGTAAAGGGTCCAGTCCAGGAGATGGGCTCACTTTCAGCCCCAAAACCCTTCCAGGAGAGGATGCAGCAAAGAGAAAGACAGCATCCTGCCTGTGTTCCTTGTTGCCTTGGTCTCATTTAAGGCCATGGCTCTTCAGCATCAAAATGAGGAATTTGATCAAATGCTAAAATGAAAGATGGAAGCAGGAGATGATACAAGACCACACGTGAAACCGAAAACCAGCTGCCTTGCCAGGAGCGGCAAAGCAATGAAGGCCGAAGGAAAGCCTGCTCAAATGTCAGTGCAGGGCTGACTTCTTATTAGCTGAGAATACTTCACACAAGACACCTCGTATTTGTAGGAGGGGAAACTGCTGAAGATCCTGAAAGAATGGGATTTGCCCAGAGTCACACAAGTAAGATAGCAGCAGGGCTGGGAACAAACTCCAGTCTGTCTCCGATCAGGACACAATCAGGCCTTTCCTTGTTAGCCAGGACCACCTGAAGGCACCTCAGGTTCTGAAACGTCCCCCGAAGCTGTGAAAGAAAAAAATCTGGGGAAGAACTAAAGGTCTTATGTTACCCGTACTCCAGTCCCATCTAGTCCTCACAACTGCTGTTGAGATGTCATGCTGGGTCCATGAAAATCGCAGGCCTAGACAAAACAGAAAGCTGAGGTTTTAAAGAGTGCCTGAACTGAGGGAGACAGAAGGTGTTGTTTGTGGCAAAGCCCAAGGTCTGAAGCAGCATCATACAGGGCAACAGAGCCATCCTGGGATTTACATTGATTATCCCAAAATACCAATACTTATTTCCTGGTAATTCTATCAGCAAGAAGTGATGTACAGGAAGGGGTTGTCCCAATTATTCAGATACGAGTCAAAAGGTGGATTGAAATGAAGTTTTAGATTGCAAGCTTAAAATGTCTTACTAAGTAGCCACAATGACTTGCTTTATGATGGTGTGCCAGGCACACGTCTTAGAAGTACATGGGATATATAGCCACTTGCTTGGCTAAGTAGACAGAATATTTCAAATGACAGTGGTGCTATGTGGTGGAGCTGATATGCTTGCTTAAAGCAGAAGTGAGACTAAGAGAAACCTGACGTCAACATGGAGATTGTTGAGGAGACTGCTCACGTATGTCAGAAAACTTAAATTTGTCTTCTGTAGACATTAATTCTGTGTGGTGCAACTTCTGGATAGTGGAATATAGCCAGGATATTTCTGTACCAACCAGAGAATATAAGATCTTGGCTTGAATTTTTTTTTTTTAGATAAGTATTTTTTATTGAAGGGTAGTTGACACACAGTATTACGTTAGTTTCGGGTGTACAACACAGTGATTTAACATTTATATACATGATAATTCTAGGTACCAGCTATCACCATACCAAGTTGTTACAATATTTTGACTGTATTCCTTATGCTATACATTACATCCCAGTTACTTATTTATTTACAATTGGAAGTGTGTACTTTTTATTTTTTTTGTGAGGGCATCTCTCATATTTATTGATCAAATGGTTGTTAACCACAATAAAATTCTGTATAGGGGGGGTCAATGCTCAATGCACAATCATTAATCCTTGGCTTGAATTTTTACAGTGTAATGTGGTGGCATTAATGAGAGTAGACCCGTGTGAATTATATTCACTCTAAGTGAGGGTGCTCAGACCCCTAGAGAAGAGAGCCGATACTGGGCTGCCTGTGGAGGCTCCTTGTCCCTCACCTCTCTCCTTTCCAGGGGAATTGGTATGTAAGGAAATGGGCATTTTCTCATGTTCTCACCTAAAGAGGAGGAGAAAGCTTCCTTAACTTATGTGCAAAGGTCTAATGGCCCTATGCAGAGCTGTCTCTGGTAAAAGGCCACAGCTTTGTCGCCATGCCAATCAGGTCAACATGGAGTTGGCTCCAAGAACAGCCATCTGAGACCACAAAAAAAGACCAGGGCAAAGTTTTCCCCAATTCCAGTGTAGGGCCAAGATGGGGACAGGATACACTGCATTGGGGTGCATATAGCAGCAGAAAGAGTCAGGGGTGACTTCAGACTTTTCCCTTCATCCCAGAATTAACCACCAGGCTACAAAGTGATTTTATTGTTTGAGAGAAAACATGAGCAGTAGTGTCATTAATCCCTAATTTTACTTCTTTAAATGGGTCTTCAAAAATAAAATTAGGAAAGCTTTGTGCTTTCCAGTGGTTTTTGCTGCTTTGCAACTAGGAAATCATAGACGTCCTTAGCAGTAGCTCCTTGCCCTGGCAAATCACCTGGGAAACTTTTACAAAAATACTGACTCCTGAGTCCCAGTCCAAGCATAACAAACTCTTAAGGAGTGGTGTCCAGGCATTAGCGCGTTTTAAAGTTTCCCAGGTCATTCAATGTGCAGAGTTGAGAACCATTGTTCTAGAACCTCACGCTGATACATCGAAACGTGGCTGAAAGGATGTTGTGAGCAGAGGCTGGTGCGCCTGCATCCTTCACGGCCAGTGTGGCCGGGCCCGCTAATGACACTCGTGCAGCCCCCAAACGAGCACCGTCCTTCCACAGTCAGGGAGGGAAACCATGCCGACGTCTCCTTCCCTCCCTCGGAAGAACCTCCAGCCGGCTCGGGCGGCGGGGCCTCGGACCGTCGGTCCGCGACCCGCCGGGGGCTTTGGGCTTGGGGACCGGAGAACGCCCCGTCCCGGTGAGGCCGGCCCCGCGCGCCGCGGGCGGCCGTGCGCTGCGGACTACGTTGCCCATCATGCACCCCGGGGGCGGGCGCACCGGGACGAGCCGGGCCTGCGGCGCGCGGGCCCGGTCTGGGCTGTCTTCCTGGGCCGCGGTCCGGCGAGCGGCGGCGGGGAGGGGCGGTGGCCATGTCTGCGTCCCCAGGGCGCCGTGGCCCCGCGGGCCTGCTCCCTCAGTCCGCGCCCGGCTGGACACCCTCTCGGGGGTCCCGCGGGGAGCGGTAACCGCCAATCTCTGCGTCCCGGGGGCCCCCGCCGAGAAGCAGGTGAGTCCGACTGCCAGCCCACGTGGCCTGGGGGCGCCGGGAGACTGGGGAGCTGTCATCCTTGGAGGGAGGGGCTGGAGGACCCGGGGCCCCTGCCTTCCACGCTACCTTTTGCGATAGGAGGACTGGGTCTCCCCGGAGTCCCTTAGCCGGTGGCCCCAGCTGGGGGATACAAAAGGCGAGGCCCAGAACCCACCCTTTGGCCAGGAGGGCAGAGTCCTGCAGGAGGCAGTGGCCAGGTGCATCCGCGCCGTCCCCACCCCAGCACACACACACCGGGCCCGCAGAGTCCGCCCGGAGCTGGGCGGTGTGACTGAGGTGGGCAGAGCGGCGCCCATGAGTGTCTTGGGGCTCAGGACTTTGCTCTCAAGGATGCCCTGGCCCAGGTAATGGGGTATCCCTTGTACTGGGTGAGTCACCCAGTGTGGGATGGAGTTTGCAGGGGGAGGATGAGCCGTCTTTGTCAGAGAGGGGCGTGGCCACCCACAGTGACAAGGACCAGGCCATGCTCTCAGCACGCAGCATGCACCTGCGGAAGCAGCAGGTGCATTGCCTCACCAGGGCCCTCTGCCACGCCCCCGTGCATCCTGGCACCACCCTCCCAAAGGGTCAAGGCAGGATGGAGCTCTCTCTAAGCAAGAGGCAGCCAGGGGAAGGGGCTCTTACAAGGCCCCAGTTGAGCCAGCCTGCCTGCTGACATCGCTCATAGGAACAGCAAGCCCTTCTAGGGGAAGCAGCAAGCCCCTGGGGCCTCTAGAGAGGCTACCTGAGAAGGGGCTCCTAGGGAGCATCTGGGACTGGTCCCAAGAGATCTCTCTTGCTTAACTGCTTCAGGCCCAGCCTCCCAGCAGCTTCAGCTGCACAGGTTGTGGCTCCAGTGGGGGTTGGGAGGGCTTTGCTGTGAGTCAGTCATCCTCCTTGCCTAGTTCCAGAGTGAGTATCCAGAGAACTGTTGGCTTCGTCAGGGCTTCTGGCTGGATCCCCAGATTGGCCTTGGGGATGTGGAGGTACTGCATGAGCTCAGGTGGCAGGGGGACTGTCCCTAGCCCCAGCCACCTGATCCTGCACTCATTCCACACGGGTGTCATGCTGGGCTCTGGCATCTGAGGTCCACAAGGGCTCAGTGGGAGGTGGGCCCTCAGGACACCAGAGAAGCTGTGGTTTGGGTCTTTGAGGCAGAGGAGCAAGGCCACAGAGCAGGGGCATGTGGTGGCCTGAAGAGTCCCACCCGGGAGACACTTCCAGAAGCAGCAGAGAATGGTCTGCTCCTGCAACTTCAGGGCCAGTGAAGAGCCAGTTAGCCTGGAGGAACTCCCACCCAGAAGGCCATGGACATCTCTTTGGCCCACGTGACAGGAGGGGCACTTCAGGCGAGAGCCACCCTGGCTTCACAAGGTCAGAGCACATTTTCCAAGGCCAGTTCACTCAGGGCCTGGCTTGGGATGAGCAGACTCTCAATGGACTAATGTACATGGCAGAGACCACAGGTCAGTGTGTATGAGTAGCTGCTCAGTCTGAATGCTAAGTAAGAATCATCATGACATGCTAATGGCAGCAGCTGAGAGTACAGCACCTGCTCTGGGCCAGAGTGACCAAGTTACATGGATCACCTCTTCCAGCCCCCCAACAGCCCGGCTAATTGGTACCATCACTACGCCCATGTTATAGAGACTGAGACTTATCAAACCAGCCAGGTTGAACCAGGTCCCCCTGGCTCCAGAGCCATTGTCCCTGAACTCTTGGCCACTTGCAGGGACAAGTCTTTCTCCCCAGGCAGGGGTCCCAGAGGCTACTTCGTAGCTGGTGTTCTCTGAGGACCTTTCACCTTCTCCCTTCCAAAGTTATTTATTTTGGCAGATGTTGATAAAACTCCTTCTGCATGTGGAGCTGACATTCTGAAATTTGTGGCAGGTCACAGGGTGACCTTCAGTGTAGGAAAACCAAGTGGGGCAAGGGAGGTAAGAATCGGATACTGCAGGAAGGCCTCTCTGACCAGGTGTCCCTTAGGCAGCAGCCTGAAGGAAGCGAGAGCGTGAGGCATGTCGGCACCTAGCCCAGGCAGAGCGACAGATGAGCTGGGGGCCAGGGGAAGGCAGAGGTGGTCGGGCAGGAAGTCTGGTGGGGGCCGAGTTCTGAAGTGACAGAGCACTCTGGATTCACATGTATGTGACACTGGGGGGAAGCCATGAGGCTGGTGTGGCTGGGGTACAGCAAAGTGAGTGGGAGAAAGGAGGGGCAGTGGGGAGGTCCCCAGGCAGTCGGGGAGGAGGTGGACAGGGCAGGGCCTCCGGCCCCACTGTGAGGAAATGGGCTTTCCCTTTCCCGCTGACTGAGCTGGAGCCATTCCAGAGTCACGACCGAGGAACTGCATGACCTGACTCCTCTCTCTTGAGAGCGTCACTTCAGTGCTGCGGGGATGCACTGACTGCACGGCAAGGGCAGAGTGGGGGAACTGGGCAGAAGACGATCTCCCAGCGGGAGGGACAACAGTGGCCTGGCCCACTGTGCTGGTGCTGGAGGTGATGAGAAGTGGATATGGGCATTTCCCACTTAACAGCAGTATTCTGTGACAAAAGTTGGATTGTGTCTGGAGGCACTAACTTAGTGTCTGTTTCCCATTATTTTAAATGGGAAAAGGTATAATGCTTCCCACATCAACCCTGAATCCACGATTTTCTAAAATGATACTAAACCATGGGAAAATATATCCCTAATATGTCTCCAATACACTACAGCGTTGGCATATAAAATGCTTAAAACATTCCCTCCTAATCACCAAACAACGTGGCATCATAGCCTCTTTCAGTACCTGCAACAGCCATCGCGCACGTAAGCCCTTCTGTTGGCCCTCAGTGACCTATCAGCTCTATTTGGAATGTAATTAGAGGCTTAATTAATGCACATTACTTTGTTAAAAATAGACATTGAGTTTTGATTATGTAAATATGCATTTTTTTTCTATACAAATACATAAGCTGAATCAATACAAGCTAGTTGTGTTAGTTATCTATTGCTGGGTAACAAATTATCCCAAAACTTAGTTTAAAACAACTATAAATGTTTGTTATTCATACAGTACCTGTAGCCCAGCAGTTTGGGAGCAGCTCAGCTGGGTGTCTCAGTCTCAGGGTCGCCCGTGAGACCTGTGGCTGGCGCCCTGGGACTGGCTATTTGCAAGTCTCCATTTCTTGACACTACGCCCATGTTATAGAGACTGAGACTTATCAAACCAGCCAGGTTGAACCAGGTCCCCCTGGCTCCAGAGCCATTGTCCCTGAACTCTTGGCCACTTGCAGGGACAAGTCTTTCTCCCCAGGCAGGGGTCCCAGAGGCTACTTCGTAGCTGGTGTTCTCTGAGGACCTTTCACCTTCTCCCTTCCAAAGTTATTTATTTTGGCAGATGTTGATAAAACTCCTTCTGCATGTGGAGCTGACATTCTGAAATTTGTGGCAGGTCACAGGGTGACCTTCAGTGTAGGAAAACCAAGTGGGGCAAGGGAGGTAAGAATCGGATACTGCAGGAAGGCCTCTCTGACCAGGTGTCCCTTAGGCAGCAGCCTGAAGGAAGCGAGAGCGTGAGGCATGTCGGCACCTAGCCCAGGCAGAGCGACAGATGAGCTGGGGGCCAGGGGAAGGCAGAGGTGGTCGGGCAGGAAGTCTGGTGGGGGCCGAGTTCTGAAGTGACAGAGCACTCTGGATTCACATGTATGTGACACTGGGGGGAAGCCATGAGGCTGGTGTGGCTGGGGTACAGCAAAGTGAGTGGGAGAAAGGAGGGGCAGTGGGGAGGTCCCCAGGCAGTCGGGGAGGAGGTGGACAGGGCAGGGCCTCCGGCCCCACTGTGAGGAAATGGGCTTTCCCTTTCCCGCTGACTGAGCTGGAGCCATTCCAGAGTCACGACCGAGGAACTGCATGACCTGACTCCTCTCTCTTGAGAGCGTCACTTCAGTGCTGCGGGGATGCACTGACTGCACGGCAAGGGCAGAGTGGGGGAACTGGGCAGAAGACGATCTCCCAGCGGGAGGGACAACAGTGGCCTGGCCCACTGTGCTGGTGCTGGAGGTGATGAGAAGTGGATATGGGCATTTCCCACTTAACAGCAGTATTCTGTGACAAAAGTTGGATTGTGTCTGGAGGCACTAACTTAGTGTCTGTTTCCCATTATTTTAAATGGGAAAAGGTATAATGCTTCCCACATCAACCCTGAATCCACGATTTTCTAAAATGATACTAAACCATGGGAAAATATATCCCTAATATGTCTCCAATACACTACAGCGTTGGCATATAAAATGCTTAAAACATTCCCTCCTAATCACCAAACAACGTGGCATCATAGCCTCTTTCAGTACCTGCAACAGCCATCGCGCACGTAAGCCCTTCTGTTGGCCCTCAGTGACCTATCAGCTCTATTTGGAATGTAATTAGAGGCTTAATTAATGCACATTACTTTGTTAAAAATAGACATTGAGTTTTGATTATGTAAATATGCATTTTTTTCTATACAAATACATAAGCTGAATCAATACAAGCTAGTTGTGTTAGTTATCTATTGCTGGGTAACAAATTATCCCAAAACTTAGTTTAAAACAACTATAAATGTTTGTTATTCATACAGTACCTGTAGCCCAGCAGTTTGGGAGCAGCTCAGCTGGGTGTCTCAGTCTCAGGGTCGCCCGTGAGACCTGTGGCTGGCGCCCTGTGACTGGCTATTTGCAAGTCTCCATTTCTTGCCACGAGGTTCTCTCTGTAGGGCTGCATGAGTGTCCCCACAACATGACTGATGGCTCTGCCTAGAGAGAGGGATCCGGGAGAGCAGGGCAGACACTCTGGGGTCTCCTGTGGTCTAGCTGCAGTCAACATGGTCCCGTTCACATCGCCACCCTGGTGACACAGAGCAGTCCTGCTCAGGGTGGGGGGTGGGCACAGAGGCGTGCACGCGGGAATGCAGGATCTGGTATCTGGAAGGCTGGCTGCTGCAGGTGGGCGTTCAAAGCCAAGAGGCTCTGTGGGGAGGTGTTGACGACAGACGTTTGCTGGGTGTGCCTGTGTTCTGAAGTCCAGTGGACGGGATTTCCAATGGCGTGTTGCATGAGTTGCGGGGAAGAGAGGCACAAGGGATGACACCCAGATTTCTTGGTGAGTAACTGAGAGGGTGAAATTGTCTTTGACTGAGACGGGGCAAACTCAGGGAGGAACAGCTTTTGAAGGTGATGATCAGGAACTCAGTTTTGGACACACAACTTAGAGACACTGTAGGATATCAAGGGCAGGCACCAAGCAGACAGTTGAATGTGTGTGGACAGATTGGGGCTGGAAATACAAATTGGAATCACTGATGTATCAGTGGAGTTGAAAGCATGAGATGGAATAAGATCACCAAGGGATAGAATGAAGACCGAGAAAAGGGTTCAAGGACTGAAATGTGAGAGGAGCAGCAGAGGGGGCTTAGGAGTGTCCAGGAGGTGGGAGGAGGACCAAGAAAGGCCAGTGGCATCTCAGAGGCCAAGAGGAGAAAGTGCCTTGAGAGGGAGGGAATCAAGTGTGCGCCTTACTGCTGAATGGCGGGGCGGCCCTGCAGGTCACTGGCAACCCTTCACGGGCAGTGTTGCTGGAGCAATGGAGGCAAAAGTCTGGCTGGAAAGGGTTTGAGAGTGAACGGGGAGAGGCGGGGAGGCCGTGGAGGAGGCACTTCTGGGTTACCAGATAGCCATGAGCTCCCCACCTGCCCCTACCCCTCTGACCAACTGATGAGTTCCGGCCAACCCAGGCATGAAGTGTTTAAGAGCTGGTACCTGCCCCTCCAGCCTGCATGCCAGGCCCCGTGATGTGGAAGGCATGCGTGCCGCAGGGCAGGGCAATAAGATGCTAGTAGCCTGCATTCCCGAATCACCGCTTGGAAGGGAGCTGCTCTGAACTGGTAGCAGACCCACAGCAAATTTTGTGTGAGCAAAAAATAAGCCTTTATGTGTAAAGCCTCTACCATTTTGGTCTTCGTTGGTTACCCAGCACAGCTTAGCCTGCCTGACTAATTAAACTCCAAGAAGTATTTACTATTTTGAGGTCCATTTGCTTGTTTTCTAAAGGGCAGCAGAAAAAAAAATACAGTGCTACCCAGAGGGGAATGTCAAGTTAAGGGAGGTTTAACTGTTTCACGGAAGTAAAATAAAGTTCACAAATCACAAGGACACTCAATGAGTGTGACAGAGTGAACACACCCAAGGGAAGGTGTCTGAAAATGGGAAAAACATCAGCATATTGGTGATGGGGAGGGAGGCGCCCCAGGCAGCCACCGCTCCCCTGGTAGGAGGAGGGAAGGTGGAGGCGGTGTGGGACTCAGGGAGGTTGTCGCTGACCATTCCCTGAGGAAGTGGGAGGCTTGCCTATCCCCAGGGTGGGCTCGGGGCAGGAGCCCTGCCAGTCTGAGGAGAGTGAAGGCGGGCATGGGCAGGTGAGGGCGCGGGCAGTGGGCAGCAGCCCACTCAGAGAGCTGCTTCTCCCCAGGGAACAGCTCATGCCCTCCGGTGTCCGTCGGGGAGCCAGGTCTGGGGCTCTGGCCACAGCCGTGGGACTGGCAGCAGCTTGCCCTCTGCCTGGACGTGGGCAGACTCATGTCTCTGAGGCCACTCTCTCTTTACCCATGAGGCTGACCCCACCCTGGGTTTTAGGTTCGCTTGTGACGTACTGGTCTGTGAGAGTTTCACACGGCCTGGGTCTTCTCGCTCCAGGGCTGGACGTGCCCCATCTTCCTCAGCACCCACTGCCCTGTGGCCTCACAGTGGCGGTTCTGGCCCATTTGGATGGCTTCTCTGGGTCTCTGTCCCCGTCCCAGAAGAGTCCCTTCTGGACACCTGCCCCGGTTCCTGTTGAGGGTGCGCAGCCTCTTTCTCAGACAGGGTGGCCCACACCTGGATCTCCTGGGATCCTTACTGGGAATTGTCACTCTTGACTGTCCTGTTGGGCAGGATTGATGGCCTAGAAAATCCCAAAGGGCAAATGTTCTCCCGAGTCATCTTCCTCTGGTCTTCCTCAGCTTGGATTCGTGGTGTTTGCCCCAGGCCCCCAAGCCCCACCAGCTCCATGGCACTCCAGGCTCAGCGCACAATGGCCACCAGGCCAGTCTCTGGTCCTGCCTCCCTGTCTCTCTGTTTTGCACATTGAGCTTATGCAAAAGCTTAATTTGAAGACAGGATTCCATAGCTTACAGCAAAGATGGCGAAAGGAAGAGCGTGGAAACCAGCCCTGTGGGTACACATACAGGAGCTGTGCAGTAGGACCTGGGGCTGGGGCAGCGTTCCTGGATGCAGGCAAGCCGGGGCCACACAGCTGCTAGTGCCGGTGACGCTGCCTCTGAGATCACTCTTTTCATGAATGTCTTTACACCCCTACTTCGTGCCAGGCCTGAGGTGACGGAGCTGCAGAAGGACAAGGCCTCCCTTGCTCCCTGCAGCCGTGGCCCAGGAGGGCAGGCCAGGGTCAGCTTTGCTCTTGGCTCACCAGCACCAGCCCTGGAGAGCATGCTCCCCATGGGTCTCCGACCGGGTCTTGGCTCCCCTTCTAGCCCATCCAGCCAGACCTCTTCCCAGCACCTCACAGGCCCCCTTCCCAGTGGACGGGGTTACCTGCCAAGTGAGGACCCTTCCGCCTGCCACTAAGGGCCCCAGAGGCTGACCCCAAGTGAGCCTTCCACCTTTGCTGTCCCCTCACAGTCACTCCACCCGGCCCTGACGCTGCGGAAGGCCTGGGAGGTCCTGCAAAGCCTGTCCCGGCCATCAAATGGGCACTGAGAATGGTCGTGTCTCTAGTTGTTGAATTGGTCGGGCAGCCCTGGTGCAAAAGCCAAGGTGAGGGAGGTTCTCAGAAAAGCAAGGCTCCAGCCTGAAGACTCCATTCCTTACTAACCACAAACAGCGATTGGCCAACTCAGTTTTTTTTTTAAATTTTGGTATCATTAATCTACAGTTACATGAAGAACATTATGTTTACTAGGCTCCCCCCTTCACCAAGTCCCCCCCACAAACCCCATTACAGTCACTGTCCATCAGCATAGTAAGATGCTGTAGAATCACTACTTGTCTTCTCTGTGGCCAACTCAGTTTTGAATGGATGTGCCGTGAAAGATACCAGGACAGAATTGTCTCCGTTCCTGGCTCCCACGCTGCCACCCTGAAGTGACGCTCAGCGGCGCACGTAGAATCCCAGGCCTTGGCCCTGCATCCTATAAGCTAGCTGGCCGCGGCACCTGCCCTGAAGAGGCACCACCAGGAGCCGGTAGCTTGATCCCCATAAACTAATGCGTGTGTTAGCTGGGCGCTCGGTGTTAGCTGCTCTTACCAGTTTGTAAGAAAAATTATTTACGTTTTACATACCTTTTTTTAAGAAGACTAGAAGGAAATACACAAAAATATGACCAGTGAGAGATCCTGAAGGTGGGAAAATGATATTTCTTTCTTTATACTTTTTCGTATTTTCCAAGTTTTCTGCAATGAGCAGATGTAATGAAGTCTTCCTTTTATAGTCAGAAAAAAAACCAACATAATTCACTTTTTAGAGGGGAGTACTAAGAACCCATTCCACAGAGGTCTGAGCTAGCTGTGCTCATACTGTCCATCATGCAGTCACCCCTGCCGACAGCACCTTCACCCCCCTCGATGATGCCTTTGTTTGCCCCACAGGACAGCCCAAGGGATGGCTGCTGACATGCAGAGGAAGAGAAGCAGCGAACGTCATGATGGCACTCTGGCTCCTGATGGGCACAGCGGAGAGAGAGCCGACAGTCCCACCCCGGGGCTGGCTCAGGGAATGGAGCCGGGTACGGGCAGGGCTCAGCCTGAGGCAGGGGTCTCCCAGCCACTTGCTGGCTGCCACTCACTCAAGCATTTGTTACGTCACTCTCTGGGTATTGGCAAGTGCCCCAGTTGCAGGGAGCCAGCCTTCCTCCCCACTCCAGGTGCCTGCTTGCCCTGTGCCATCTGGCTGCCCGAGTGGGCTCTCCTCCTAGGTCCTGTGTTGACAGGGGGCCTCCCTGGCTCCTTCTCCCTCCCTCAGCTCTCTACACATGAGTTAGGCCTGCTCCAAATGCACCTTGTGCAGGACAACAGTTATTTTATAATTTTATTTTGCTCACAAGATCATGAACGCTTTGAGCACAGAGCAGTTGTACCCCAATGCCTGGTCCAGAGCTGAACTCACACTAGAGGCTGAAAATACATCTGTTGAACTATTCTGTCCATATGAAGTCTGCCTTTGATAGGAAGGCTTCAGTAGACATGTCAATCAGTAGACTGACATGGAGCCTGTCTTGGGGGCCACCAGCAGTGGGCCATTACAGTGGAGTGGCTGAGGAGCATGGCAAGCCGGTTCGCCGAGCACCGGAGGCATCCCAGGCAACTGACATCTGCGTAGAGGGTTGAAGTGTGACCAGGAGCTGGCCATGTGAGGAGGGGGCAGCACCCTCCAGGCAGAGGAACAGCCAGTGCAGAGAGCCTGAGTAGGTGGGGGGATGTAGGGCGTCCAGAGAGCAGATGAGCAATGTCCAGGATAGCTCAGACTGGCACTGGCTGTGAGGGGAGAGTGGGAGAGGCAGGCCAGGGCCAGCACCCTGGGAGCTGGGCCTGCAGGGAGCCAGTGGGAGCCCCAGGGGTGGCCTTGGGTCTTCTTCCCAGCATGATAGGACATGGGGCCAGAGTGTAGCAGGAGGGACCAGCGGCCTGTCTCATTGGGTCAGGCTGTCAAGCCAGAGTGGCTGCCTCAGGTGCCTTGCTGGCGAGGTGGTTGGCCAGCAGCCACCACGCTAAGCACCATGCTTTCGGCTGGCAGGTGCCGGGCAGGAGGCTGCCATGTTCGTCCATGCCCGTTCCTATGAGGACCTGACTGAATCGGAGGATGGGGCTGCTTCCAGGGAGAACCTGGAGGAGGGTGCTGGGGGTCCTTCACCACTGCCTGCGGACATGCGCCAGATCAGCCAGGACTTCAGCGAGCTGAGCACCCAGCTGACAGGTGTGGCCCGAGATCTGCAGGAGGAGATGCTGCCGGAGAGCTCTGAGGACTGGCCAGAGCCCCCGGGGGCAGCCGGGAAACCAGCCATAGAGCCCCCCAGGGAGGGCACAGGCGAAGGGGATGAGGAGGAGGCTGCTGAGGCATGGCGACTGCACCAGAAGCACGTCTTCGTGCTGAGCGAGGCGGGGAAGCCTGTGTACTCCCGCTATGGGTCGGAGGAGGCCCTTTCCAGCACCATGGGCGTCATGGTGGCCCTGGTGTCCTTCCTGGAGGCAGACAGGAATGCCATCCGCTCTATCCACGCAGGTGAGCCGCCTGGGAGTGGGGCGGGGAGGGCCTCCTGGCCAGGGCTCATTCACAGCAGGCTTGGGGCCCCTCAGGGATAGAGGGCTCATCCCCTCTCATCTGAAGCCTCGATGTCCTCGTCTGAGCACAGAATGGCATCACTGACTGCCTCATAGGGCTACTGTGAGGGCCAGGGGTGGCTGGCACAGCACGGGAGAGGGGCAAAGCCTGGGGGTAACCAAAACAGTCCCAGGTCCTGAGCCCCAACCAGCTCTTGCCATTTAGCACAAGAGTGTGTGTTTTTCTGAAGTGCTCACACGTTTTAGCAGGTGCCAGTCTGTGCAGCGAGTGGCAGGAACAGGCCTGGTGCCCTGGCGGGGGAGGGACGTGGGCTGCTGTTTGTATCCTCTTCGTTCTTCAGCCCCACGGTGTGCACAGCTCTGGGGGAGGGCAGAGTGGACAGAGAAGGGAGGGCTTCCCAGACGGGCCCGTCTGACCGTCGCCTTGCCCCCAGATGGCTACAAGGTGGTGTTTGTGCGCCGGAGCCCGCTGGTGCTGGTGGCGGTGGCCCGCACGCGGCAGTCGGCACAGGAGCTGGCGCAGGAGCTGCTCTACATCTACTACCAGATCCTCAGCCTTCTCACGGGGGCGCAGCTAAGCCACATTTTCCAGCAGAAACAGAACTACGACCTGCGGCGCCTGCTCTCGGGCTCGGAGCGCATCACCGACAACCTGCTGCAGCTCATGGCGCAGGACCCCAGCTTCCTGATGGGGGCGGCGCGCTGCCTGCCCCTTGCCTCGGCCACGCGCGACGCCGTGAGCGCCAGCCTGCAGCAAGCACGTGCGCGCAGCCTCGTCTTCTCCATCCTGCTGGCGCGCAACCAGCTTGTGGCGCTCGTGCGCCGCAAGGACCAATTCCTGCACCCCATCGACCTGCACCTGCTCTTTAACCTCATAAGTTCCTCCTCGTCCTTCCGCGAGGGCGAGGCCTGGACACCCGTGTGCCTGCCCAAATTCAATGCGGCCGGCTTCTTCCATGCACACATCTCTTACCTGGAGCCGGACACTGATCTCTGCCTGCTGCTGATCTCCACCGACCGCGAGGACTTCTTTGCCGTCTCTGACTGCCGCCGCCGCTTCCAGGAGCGCCTGCGGAAGCGCGGAGCCCATCTGGCACTGCGGGAGGCACTGCGCACGCCCTACTACAGTGTCGCCCAAGTGGGCATCCCAGACCTTCGCCACTTCCTCTATAAGTCAAAGAGCTCAGGACTCTTCACCAGGTGAGGGAGGGCATGGGGACACTGCCTGAGGGAGATGGGGCATGCGGAGGGGGGCCAGTTGGGCCTGAGACCTGCTGTGGTTCTGAAGCTGACCAGCACTCTGGGATGGAGCTGCATGCTGGGTCTGTTTCACCCCGATACCTGGGACCCAGACTTTCTATCACCCTCCTCCTGGCGGACACACACCTCTCTTCTTCATTACTCAGATGGGCTTGAAATGCCCAATACCCCCCGGGGAAGGAGCTGGGACAGAGGTCTCCTGGGTCCCTTAGGGGGCCTTTAGGTCCAGCTCAGGCTGCAGAGCCCCTCTGCCTTCCTCCTTCACAGAACTAGGCCAGGTACGGCAGCTCTGTCCTCCCCTTCACCCCTTTTTGGTCCATAGGGTGCCCAGTGGACCTCCCCCACTTTGGACCTGTCACTCTGCCTTGGAAGCCTGAACTTAGATTCGTTTGTCCAAGGGAGGGTCAGCAAAGATGTCACGACCCTGGGGGAGTGGGGAGAATGGGCTCCAGTCTGGATGGGCTCAGCCCTGTCCCGGTGGGGATCCTCTGTGGTAGGGACACAGTGTCCCATTCTGGGGGAGCACGTGGAGGGTAGGCGTGTGGTGTAGTCTCCCTGGCTGGGAATAGGGGTTCTTCGATCTCCAGAGAACCAGAGAAGGCAGTGGCCGTCATTGCTTTGCAAACCTGCTCCCCATCTCCAGCCCTGAAATCGAGGCCCCATACACCAGTGAGGAGGAGCGGGAGCGGCTCCTGGGCCTCTACCAGTACCTGCACAGCCGTGCCCACAACGCCTCCCGCCCTCTCAAGACTATCTACTATATGGGCCCCAACGAGAACCTTCTGGCCTGGGTAAGGTGGCCCTGGGGTGGGCTGGGCTCCATCGGGTCCCGGGCAGGGGCCATGAGGGGGCATCTAACCTGGAGGACCACTCTGTGCCTCCTCCTCCAGGTGACAGGCGCCTTTGAGCTCTACATATGCTACAGTCCGCTGGGCACCAAGGCGTCAGCCGTCAGTGCCATCCATAAGCTCATGCGCTGGATCCGCAAAGAAGAAGACCGCCTCTTCATCCTCGCGCCCCTCACCTACTGATGGGAATGTGTGCGGCTCAGCCATCTGGGCCACAGAAGCCATGGGAGCCCGGGGCTGGCCTCTCCTTCCTGGGCAGCAGGCAGGGCCTGTGGGCCGAGGTGTGCATTAAAGTGCTCTGGGGAAGATGGCTGGCCTTGTTCCTGCATCCTTTGCTCATCCACTCCTTCTCGCAGACAGGCACCAGACCCTCCTACCTGGGTAGGCTGCACCGGGACACATGCCAAAGGGAGCCCCTCCCTCACCTGCCCAGCAGCAGGCCACAGATGCTTGAAGTTGGACCCCAGGCTGAAGCTGCCACATGTGAAGTGTTCTGGCCTCATCCCCCGTACTAAGCCTGAGCCCCTGGGGCCTCCCTCTCAGTCCTAGGTGGGGCGCCCAGCACTGTACCCTGAAGGACCACCCACCCACCCTGGGGCCCTGGCTGTGGCTCTGCTTGATGGGCTGCTGTGTTCAGCAGGGGCTGAGCTGAGTAAGATAGGGGCGGCCCCAGGGCAGCAGAGATTGGGGGCTGCTGAGCCCTGGTGCAACTGGGACCCTTTGTGAGTGGTCCAGCATCCAGCACAGACAGCTTCAGAGGCCAGCCTCACTGTGGCTGCAGGCCTCCGGGAAGATTGTCCCAGCTTGGACTTTCTCCTGAAGGGCTGTCTGCCTCTGCTGCCCTCCCTACAGCCAGAGCCTTCCCCAGGGTGGCCCCCAGGGGTGAGCTGGAGAGCCCGAGAGAAGACCCAGCTGACCACTCAGGCAGAGGCAGCCCCACCCTAAGAAGAGCTGATGCTCCCAGGCCCTCTTGAGTCACCCTGATCCCTGCATGGCCCAGCCTATGGGGGTCCTGTGGATATCCCAGGAGGCCAGGCAGTGAGGGCCCAGCCCCTCTGAGTGGAGCCCAAGGCACAATGCAGAAAGCCTCTGCCCTTCCTGGGACTGCCCTCCCAGTTCTGCCTCAGCATAACCATCTCATTGGCCAGGCAGGGGTGTGGGGAGGGCAAAAGACCTAGGAAGTGTTTGTGGGAGAGGAGTGTCCGCTGAACACAGTCTTCAGACTGTGGAGTGAATCACCCTCATGCAGTCTCTGAGCTGGGCCAAGAGTCTCTGCCACTAAAACTAACTCATGCGGGCAAACGGGTATGTGTGGGTGGTGTGGGCCAAGGGTGCCCTGGAGTGGTTCTGCTTTCTGTCCCAGGAAATGGAAGCATAGGCCCTGCACCTTGGCCCCTGCCTGGATCTCATCAGGCTGGGAATGGCAGCAGGCTGCCTGCGCAGACCCGACAGGCCCTGGGAGCAGGCACAGGCCGGCTGGGTCCTGTCCACCTATGCACGTGCCCTGGGTCTCTTTTCTGCCTGTTTCCTGCTTCGGTTCCTCCCCTTGCTCCTTACCAGGATACTAAGCCACTGCCTTGGGGGCCAGGCTGATGCCAGGGCAACTGCCCCTGCCTGTTTGTGGTGTTCTGGTCAGCAGTCAGCCCCTAGATGCCCTGTCAGCCGCTGTGAGCCCTGTGGGTCTCTCAGCTTCTCCACAGTTCTGAGCAATGGTGGGAAGGGTGTTCGCAATTAGATGCACATGTGTACCTAGGATGGGGGGTTTATCTGCTTGGGGATCGAGGAAGGCATGGCAGGCAAATAAGGAAGGTATTCCTAGCAAAGGAACCAGCATATGCAAAGGGAAGGTCCAGGTAAGGAACCTGAGGGACTGGCCTATGAGGAAACGCAGGAGTCTCCAGGGCCAGGGGTCTCCACCTCCCGGTTAAGGTCTGTTGGTGAACAGCCATTGAATGTGTTAACACTGCAAAGTGATGTGGCCATATTGTGGTTAGCGAGAGCCCCCAGCTGCCACTAAGGTGGCCTCTGGGGTGGAGAAAGAGGCTGCCACTAGTTCTCTGGAGTGGTGTTTGCAGGCAGTGAGTCCAAAGAGGACAAATTAGGTGACACACCAGGCAGTCAGGCAGGTCCTAACCCAATATGGGCTGGGCCTCATGAGTTCACCTGGGGGCAGCACTTGGGCTGGACAGTGCGAGGCCCCCTTAGCCGACTCCGCAGAGCCAGCAGAGGGGAGGAAGGGGCACTCCCGTGGATGCCTGCTGTCAAGGACCAAGGCTGCCCACGAGGGGATGCCAGCGGGGGGTGGGGGTCCAACAGTGTGGCCACATGGTGGCAGCAGAGAACCAACTGTTGACCCCTAAACGGGTGGCCCGGTGATCTAGGAGCTCCTCCCAGCCCCCAGAAGTCTCTCTGGACGTCCAGAGGCAGGTGGGAGAACCCCTGACTTGGTGCCGAGCAGACAGTGTTGTTTCAGTTTTGTCCTGCATGTCTTCAGACAGGGTGACTGTGGAACACAGGGTCTGTGACACAATGTGGATGGGTTCGTTCATTTCCGGGCCAATTCCTGTTAGAGAAGGGACTGCCTCTCACATAGCCTCTGGCGGGGCGTGCACGCAGTGCTGGGTGTGGCTGTCCGCCTGCTGTTTCCTCTCCCAGTTGCCAGGTGCTTGAGGGGCACCAGTCTGCAAGGGGAGGGGGTCCAGTGCAAGGTATGGGGAAGTGGTGTCAGGGATCCAGAGGGCACCGTGCTGGGGTGGGTGTAGCACAGGGCCTGTGGGACCCATGGAATGGACCTGGCACCACCCGGGGCGGAAAGGCTTCCTGGGGGAGGCGCCGTGTAAGCTGTGAGAGGAGGAGGAGGGGAAAGCGGTGCCCCAGGAAGGAGGAACAAAGAGCACAGGCTAGGCGGGGCAATAGGGGAGGTACAGCTCCCAGGGTCGGGCTGAGTCCTGTTGGGCTGAGGACTCTGTCCCGCACCTCCTTGTCCCCCAGAGCCACGAGCCCCATGGTACAGTCCCTCCATCCTCAGCCCAGAGCTATCCTGTGAAGCTTCCCCTCCCTCAGGGTCCACGCCCACCTAGCTAAAGGGGCTATCAGGCTGAGGATGCCCCCTAGGGCACCCCTCAGTGTTAGGGGGCACTAGTTACCCAGGAGCGGCCACTGAAGTCCAGATGAGAGAGGGCAAGAGCAGATAGGTTGCGTCCCCTATCCCGCCCTCCACATGTCACAGCCTGGAGAGAGAAGGCCAGGCAGCCACCTAGTTACAACTACATCCCCATTCAGGGTCAGGGAGTCTGAGGCCCAGCATGGCTGACAGCAGTTTAGTGGTGCCCGGAGAGCCAAGGCCCGTTTTCCCCCATCTGGGGCCCTGGGGGCAGGGGCAGAGGCAGAACGGAAGGACAGCACTGCGTGGGTATTACCCCCGTTCTGCAGCCTCTACCTTCTGAGGCAGGTGGTGGGGCCAGAGCCAGGCCCGGCCTCCCCATCAGCTGCCTCTCCTCCGACTACTGTGCAGCCAGAAGGGCCGGCCCCATCTTATAACTCCTTCCGCCCCAGACACCATCCTGTCCCTGACGGCCCAGGGCAGACCCCTGCCCACAGCAGGGGCGCCAGTCCTGGGGTCCCCAAACATCTCCCCTCCTCGTCCGCACGCTCCTGGACTCTGTTTTCTCACGGTGGGTCCCCCTGGCCCTGCCCGGGCCTGCATCTGAGGGTGTTGCTGAATACAGGCCCCAAAGGCAGAATCACCCAGGCGGCCCGCCCCCTCGTCGTGGCCCAGGCTGTGGTGGGGGCGGGATGGGGCAGCTCAGACCTGCTCCGCAACCCCCGCGCCCGCGCGCAGGCCTCCCGGGGACGGTGCCCCAGAGAAGGGGCCGGGCGGGCTTCCGGAGGCGGGGCGGCGGGGCGGGGCCGCCCTCTCGCTCCCCGCGCCAGTCCGGGCCGCGGCTGGGCGGCAGGGAGGACGGCCTGTTGGCTCCCCGCCGGGTGTGCAGCGCGCCCGGTGCTTGGCCCGAGGGCGGGGCGGGCGGGAGGCGGCCTGTGGGCCCCGGGGACCGGCTCCGGGCGCGGGCCCCAATGGAGCCGTCGGCGCCGCCGCTGCTCGTGCTGCTCGCGGTGGCCGCTGCGACCGAGTCCTGGCAGTGCCCGCGCATCCCCTACGCCGCCTCCCGCGACTTTGACGTGCAGTACACGCTGCCCAGCTTCTCCGCCGGCGGCCCGGTGCAGGCCGTGGCCACCTACGAGGGCGGCGGCGACGGGAGCGCCGTGTTCGTGGGCACGCGCAACCGTCTGCACGTGCTCGGCGCCAGCCTGCAGCCCGTCGAGAGCCTGACCACCGGCCCTGCCGGGGACCCTCGCTGCCAGACCTGTGCGGCCTGCGGCCCGGGCCCCCACGGCCCTGCGGGGGACACGGACGCGGTGGTGCTGGCGCTGGAGCCGGCGCTACCCGCGCTCATCAGCTGTGGCTCCAGCCTGCACGGCCGCTGCTTCCTGCACGAGCTGGAGCCCCGCGGACCCGCAGTGCACCTGGCGCCGCCAGCCTGCCTCTTCTCGGCGCACGGCAACTGGCCCGACTACTGCCCCGACTGCGTGGCCAGCCCTCTGGGCACCCTGGTGACGGTGGTCGAGCAGGGACACGCCTCCTACCTGTACTCGGCCTCCTCGCTGGACGCGGTGGTGGCTGCGACCTTCAGCCCCCGTTCGGTGTCGGTCCGGCGCCTCAAGGCCGACGTCTCGGGCTTCGCGGCCGGCTTCGCCTCGCTGTCGGTGCGGCCCGCGCTCCTGGCGTCCTACCGCATCGAGTACGTGTACAGCTTCCAGGCCGGAGCCTTCGTGTACCTCCTGGCGCTGCAGCCGGCCCGCGTGGACGCCCCCGGCGCCCCGCACACGCGCCTGGCCCGGCTCAGCGCCACCGACGCGGGGCTGGCCGACTACCGCGAGCTGGTCCTCGACTGCCGCTTTGAGCCCAAACGCCGGCGGCGCGGGGCCCACGAGGGCGGGCAGCCCTACCCCGTGCTGCGCGCGGCCCACGCGGCCCCGGTGGGCGCGGGGCTGGCCGCGGAGCTGAGCATCGCCGAGGGCCAGGACGTGCTGTTCGGGGCCTTCGAAGCCAGCAGAGAGAGCAGCACGGCTGTGGGCCCCCACTCTGTCGTCTGCGCCTTCCCCGTCAAGCTGCTGGACACTGTCATCGAGCAGGGAGAGGAGCGCTGTTGCGACCCGCCGGTGCCCCCGGGCCTGCGGCGAGGCCTCGACTTCTTCCAGGAGCACAGTTTTTGTCCCAACCCGGTGAGCAGAAAGCAGTGAAATGTGGCAGAATCCAGGCTGCTTCCCTGCCAGGCTGAGAGGGTCCCGCGGCAGAGGTGGGCGTGGGAGGGAAGGTTTTCCCTTCCACCCAGTTCCCCTTGGTGCTGGCTGCCCTTATGCGAGGGAACCGGCCCTGCCAAGGCTGTACTTGGAGGCCCAGCTCCCACCGGGCGGCCCATTTTGCTCTTTCACCTCTTTCCCATCATAGCCTCTGAAGGCTTAGGAAGTTTCCCTAGTTATGTGAGAACTGGGTTGCATCAGAAGTGTCCCTCTCCAGACATACTGCCACACTGTAGTGGAGAGATGGGCATTCCCTCCTACCTGCCCCCCACACAGGCAAGTGTCCGGGGGTTCGCCCAGACCCCACTGCTCACCAACGGTTTCACTTTCCCTATGGGAGCCTTTGACCAGTTCTGTTTTCCAAAGAGGGTGGGGCAGCTGTTGTCAGAGAAGGTGCCGTCACCCACTCCCAGCCAGCGTGCCTCCTGGGCCGTGGCAGTGTGGGGCCTTGTCAGGGAGCCGCATGGCTTGGGCTTCACTGACACACGCATCCCTGATCTCCACGGGGTGACTGGGGGGACCTGCGGCATGTGGGAGGGCCGCTTGGCTCCAGCGGATCCCAGGAGGCTCAGCCCAGTCTTGTGCGAACAACTATAAACATGTGGGGATGAGTAAAGGCTTAGGAGGGGCTGGAGCTGGCCCACCACGGAGTCCCAGACCTCCTTCCGCTGCAGGTGGGGCCTTGCCCTGGTCCCCCTCCTCGCCCAAGGCAGGTCTCTCAGCCTGTGCCACCCAGATTCTGTCCAGCTGTGGGGCCAGGGAGCTGGAGCAGAGACAGCAGGACATTCCCCAAAATAAGGATGAAACCCCAACCAGATCCCTTGAAGCCAGTCCCACCCTAGATTACAAGAGACTGAACAAGGAAATGAGGTCGACAACTTTGGACGGGTGCTCCCAGCAAGCTGGCCCACGGTCACTGCTCTCGGTCATTGGCTGCCCGTGGCCCTGCTGCGACATCCTCCACTGACCCCTCTCTAACCCTACTGATGGCCCAGAGGTGGGAGGAGAACCTGCACACACACGGGGAGGGGTGTGGGATCCCCCTTCCCTGGGCAGCCCATTCCCCAGGCACCCCGTGCTCGGCCTGGGCAGCCCTGCCTGTCTGCCTCTCCTTTACTCTGCAGAGCCAGAACCTCTCACCGGCTTAGCTAATGGTCAGTGCCAGGCACTAGGGGGACTAATCTCCAGACCTGCCCGCAGGCTGGCCGGGCTCCTGGGAGGATGTGGACCAGCCTGCTCAGTGTTTGCCCACAGCCTCCGAGGGGACGCCCACAGGGTGCTCACTTGTGGCTGGCCTTAGGAAGCCTGAGGGGCTTGGAGCAGGGACATGCCCACCATGGGATCAGGTAGGGTTTGAGTCTTGGGCAGTGACCCCCTTTGGGGGGAATTGGACACACGTGTTCTCAGGAGCCAGGCCTCTAGACAGGCCCTGGAGCCCAGGGGCAAGCAGGCAAGGAGTGGCTCTGACTCTGGTAGGGCCTCTTTTCCATCCCTCAGCCCCACCTATCACTGAGTCACGCTGAAACACCTGGCTGGTTTCTGGCTGGAGCCCAGCCCCTTTCCCTCCGCAAGTGAGGACAGAGTCCCAGTTCCCACCCACCCAAGCCAGAGCCCCGGAGGGTGTGGAGTTTCTGGGCCCAGCCCTGTGCCTGCTCTCATCCCCATGCCTCCTGAGGAGTGCTGAAGTCTGAGGACAGAACAGACTTGGTCTGACAGGGGCCCCAGAGGCTCCAGCCTTGAGGCGTGCTTCAGGGCTAGCAACAGAGGGTCCCAAGCACCAGGGCAACTGAGGCCTGCCTGCCCTTTGCACTCAGCTCCTTTGCACCTTGCATTCATACCCTGGCTTCCTGATTGCCCAGAAGTTTGCACAGCCCTGCCTTGGGCCACTGAGTACCCTCCCCCAAGCACCCTCCTGTTAAGAACAGGGTAGAGTTAGAGACTCTGGGGCCCTGGGGCCTAGCCTAGCACCTGCGCCTCCAGCCTTGGTTATCCCTTTTGTAATTGAAGGAGGTGCAGAGAGCAACCTGGAGGTGAGGGGAGACCCTGTGGAGCCTTGGGGAGAAGGAGTATGTTGCCAGTGGGGTACTGAGCGCTTAGCCTTGGGGTTCAGCCCAAAGAAGGGAGCCCTTCTGCTGAAGTGAAGGCAGAATCAGCAGGGGGTGGGGGAGGACTCTGTTCAAGAGCTCAGACTCCCGACCTGGCTCCTCTCCTGAGAGGCTGTAAGGCCTCCAACAGGTTACCAAGCCTCTCTGAGCCTGTTTCTTTATGTACAATGGGTGTGGGGAGGGCGGTTGTGAGGACAGAATGGGGTTGGTCTGCAAAACCCTAACCCTACCAGAATGGATGTGGCAGGGTCCGGCGAGGTATAGGAGGAGCCCACCTGGGCCTTCCAGCCTGGGCCTTGCTACAGCCTGAGAGCCCCACTGACTGGCAGGCCTGGGGCCTTTTCCAGCTAGGCCAGGTGAGAGGCAGGAGTTTGGGCCGTTGTGGTCATTGACAGGCCTCAAGGGGCCAGTGTGCGGGGTGAACGCTGATCCTGCCTTGGCCCTCCGCAGCCTGGCCTGGAGGGCCCCAGCCCCAACGCAAGCTGCCGCCACTTCCCTCTGCTGGTCAGCAGCAGCCTCTCACGTGTGGACCTATTCAATGGGCGGCTAGAGGCAGTGCAGGTCACTGCACTGCACGTGACACGCCTTGGCAATGTCACGGTGGCCCACATGGGCACGGCCGATGGCCGCATCCTGCAGGTAGGTCCCTCGCCTCCACCACCTCTTGTCCCCCTGGCCCCAGCTCCATTTTGCTCACAGCTGACCTGTCCCAGGTGGAGGTGGCCAGGTCTCTCAACTACTTGCTGTATGTGTCCAACTTCTCACTGGGCAGCAATGGGCAGCCTGTGCAACGGGATGTCCGTCGCCTTGGGGACCATCTGCTCTTTGCCTCTGGGGAACAGGTAAGGTGGCCTGGGCCTGGGGCCAGGGCTGTGGGAGCATAGCCTCCCCATGCAGTCCGTGGAGGCACTGACACACAGGTCCCACCACTGTAATCTACATTAGGACCAGGGGATCCTGGGGGCTTAGTACCCCCTCCATCTACCCTGAGCCACCTGTCTGCCCCTCCAAGGTCTTCCAGGTACCTATCCAGGGCCCTGGCTGCCGCCACTTCCTCACCTGTGAGCGTTGTCTACGGGCACAGCGTTTCATGGGCTGTGGCTGGTGTGGGGACATGTGTGGCCGGCAGAAGGAGTGTCCTGGCTCCTGGCAGCAGGACCACTGCCCCCCTGAATTTACCAAGGTACGGCTTGCCTTGGCAGGGCACCGGTGAGGGTGGGATAAGCAGGCTGGGTGGTGTCAGCAGGCCTTGACCATGATCTTGCTCAGGCCTGGGATGTCCTCAGGATGCACAAAGAGGGCATTCTCGATAGAGGGGATGACACATGCGAAGACCTGGAGGCAGAACTGTGTTCAAGCGAGGGCCGGACAGAGGCCTAGAATGCCTGGGGAGAGGGGCTGGCAAGGCGTGGGGCAGGATGCTGCGGGGAAAGCGGGCAGGGCAAGACCCTGGCCCATGGAGGGACTCAGCTACCTGCTCCTCTCAGTTCCACCCCACCAGCGGACCTCTAAGGGGCAGCACGAGGCTGACCCTGTGCGGCTCTAACTTCTACCTGCACCCCAATGGTCTGGTCCCCGAGGGCACTCACCGGGTCACTGTGGGCCAAAGTCCCTGCCAGCTGCTGCGCAAGGACAGCTCCAACATCAGGTACAACCCGGTCCCTGCCCTCTGTTCCTGGCGGGGGCAGCCAAGTGTCCCCTTCCACTCAGCAGGGGTGAGGGCAGCTGCAGGCTACAGGGGCTCTGGTTGCCCTGTGTCCAGGGAGACATCTCTGTCCCTCCTTGAGCTGACATATGCCCTACCCCTCTGCTGAGGCCTGGACCAGGCAAGTTTAGTGCCTGTCCCCCGAGATGCTGCCTGTCCTGGAGGAAGGCATGCCAGAGAGATGCCTGCCACAGGCCCAGAGATCTGTGAGCTGTGGCTGGCATGCAGGCAGGCCTGGGTGGCCCCTGGTTGATCTTGGGCTCCCCTGGGTCCCCAGCTCCATGCCCCGGAAGGACTATGTAGAGGAGCTTGAATGTGAGCTGGAGCCCCAGGATGCCCAGACAGCTGGGCCTGCCAACATCAGTCTCATCGTGACCAACATGCCCCCAGGCAAGCACTTCCGGGTAGATGGCATCTCCATACAGCAAGGCTTCTCTTTCATGGTGAGGCCCTGGCCTTGTCTGTGCCCCTGGCCAGAAGGACAATATGGGTGGGAATGGCTTGACGGGAAGGCTTCCTACTCCAGGCTGAGTCACTGCCACCCCTTCCCAGGAGCCCAGGCTGACAGCAGTACAGCCCCTCTTTGGCCCACGGGCAGGGGGCACTCGCCTCACCCTGGAAGGCCAGGGCCTGGCTGTAGGCAACAACCGGACTGTGCTGGTCAACGGGACTGAGTGCAGGCTGCAGGGGTAAGTGCCGAGCAGTGCCAGGGGGCTGCAGGGCCTCACCAGTGGGGCTTGGATTTTTTCAGGGCTGAGGGAGGAGGGCCAGTCACGTGCTCAGTGGGGGGATCAGGTCCAGGAGAATGGGTCTGCTGCTGGCTCCAGCCCAGAGGCAGCCTGGGGATGGCGAGGGCACCCATCACAGAGTGTGCGGCTCCAGCCGGGGCTGCGGGGAACCTGCGCTCTCTCGCCTTCTCGGAGGCCTCACCAGGCCCTCTCTAGCTTCAGAAGTCCCACGGGGCATGGGCAGGTTGGGGAGATGACCAACAGGAACTGGGAGGGCTTGTGAGACCCCTGGAGGAGGTAGGCCTGGCCGTCACATGGGGGGGACCCCGAGCCCAATCCCTCACCCACTTTCAGCAGGGTCAGCGACGGACAGCTTTTCTGTACCACACCCCCCGGGGCAGCTCCGGCCAGTGTTCCCATTCACCTGCAGGTAGGGGGCGCCATGGTGCCTGGCTCCTGGACCTTCCACTACCGAGAGGACCCGGTTGTGCTGGGCATCAGCCCCAACTGTGGCTACACGTGAGTGCCACTGCCTTGCTCATCCTGGTCTCCTAGGAGCAAGGGCGCTGGCCTCAGAGCACCCTGAGCCCACCCCTGCCTTCCTCCACAGAGGCTCCCATGTCACCATCCGTGGCCTGCATCTGACATCAGTGTGGTACCTCAATCTGTCCTTCCATGACGGGCTCCGGGCAGTGGAAAGCAGGGTGAGCGGGCATGTGGGCCCTGCCAGAAGGAAAGAGGGCTGGCCCAGTGCCCTGAGTTGCAGCCCTCCCAGGCTGGGCCAAGGGGCCTGGGGTGGCCCTGTGTGGGCTGCCTGGCTAACTGCCCTCTTGTGGGCCCCGCAGTGTATGGAGCAGCTCCCGGAGCAGCTTCGGTGCCGCCTGCCTGAATACGTGGTCCGAGGCTCCCAGGGGTGGGTGCCAGGGAACCTGAGTGCCTGGGGGGACGGAGCGGCTGGCTTCACGCTGCCGGGCTTTCGCTTCCTGCCCCCACCCCACCCACCCAGCACTGACCTGGCCCCCCTGAAGCCTGAAGAGAATGCCATTAAGTTCGAGGTGAGTAAGGGATAGGGGGCGGGGATGCTGAAGGGTTCAGGCTGAGGCCTGCTGGAAGGGGAGAGGGCACGGCCAGTCCTCACGTCTCTGCAGTACATCGGGCTGGGCGCTGTGGCTGACTGCGTGGATGTGAACGTGACCGTGGGCGGTACGAGCTGCCAGCACGAGCTCCGGGGGGATGTGGTCGTCTGCCCCCTGTCTGCCTCCCTGCAGCTTGGCATGGACGGCGCTCTGCTGCAGGTAGGCAGCTCAGTTGGCCTCCCCGGGAGACGTGGGGCACGGCCTGCAGGCTGGGCCTGAGCCGCCACCTGCCCACAGGTCTGCGTGGATGGTGGATGTCACTTGCTGGGCAGGGTGGCACGGCTGGGCTCCGAGGGGGTCCCGCAGAAGACACTCCTGGGCATCCTGCTGTCCCTGCTCTTGCTTGTGGCTATACTGGCCACCGTGCTGATCCTCAACTCCCAGCGGAGGAAGCAGCTGGGTGAGCTCGCCACCCCCTCCTGACTCAGCCCCTACCCCCCGATGGTGGCATCTTGGGTTCCCATAGCCTCTCTCTGCCCAGGCTATGGGCATCTGCCTGGGTACAGTCTGGCCTCTAGGAGCTTGGCGAGGCGGACCACCAGCAGGTGTCTTTCCACAGCCCTTCCCCTGAACCCCGAGCACCTGGCATCGTTGGAGCAGACGGGAGCTGTGCCCCTGCCTGTCCTGGGCTCAGGCTCTGACTACAGAGGAGGCTTCGGTGAGCTGGTGGAGGTGCCGGAAGCTGGGGCCGTACCCTCTGCTGCACAAGCCCCTAACTCCTTCTCCACTGCAGCGCCTGGCACTGACGGGCCGGATTCCACCCCTCGGGGCCACAAAGCATGCTGCTCAGACAGTGGGGATGGGGCCTGCGTCCCACTGCTGCAGACCGAGTCCACCCAGCTTGGGGACCTGGACCCTGCGCTCCTGGCTGAGGTCAAGGACGTGCTGATTTCCCATGAACGAGTGGTGACCCACAGTGACCAAGTCATTGGCAAAGGTGTGAGGGGAGGCGGGCGGGGCTGGGGCACAGGTGGAATTGGAACAGATGGAACAAGGCTCAGGGGACCGTTGGGCAGCACCCTGCTCTGGCCTTCTCCCCAGCCTATGACCTGGGCATATCGTGTGACACCTGCTTCCTCCGTCTGCTCATCTGTGACCTAGGAATTAGCTCTGTGGGCCCTGCTGCAGGTTAAGTGGCACAAGGGCTGCAGGCTCTATGGCCATGCAGGGAGCTGCTTGCTATCTGTGTCAGCCTGGCCTGTTGGTGCTCTCAAATCTGGTGGCCAGTGAGAGGGTATGGTGCCAGACCCGGGCACTGGGGCCCTCTCTCCCTCTCCCCCTTCCCAGGCCACTTTGGGGTTGTCTACCACGGAGAATACACAGACGAAGCTCAGAACCGAATCCACTGTGCCATCAAGTCACTGAGTCGTGAGTGGGGCCGAGGTGCTCCCCCCGGGGCAGTGCTGAGCGGCCCTGAATGGGAGACTTTGCTCCTCCACCTCCCTGGCAGACCCTGGGAGAGGGGCGCCCTGCCCTGGGCCTGACCCGCGCTCTCTGCAGGCATCACGGAACTGCAGGAGGTGGAGGCCTTCCTGCGTGAGGGGCTGCTCATGCGTGGTCTGCACCACCCAAACGTGCTGGCCCTCGTCGGTATTGTGCTGCCCCCTGAAGGGCTGCCCCTTGTGCTGCTGCCCTATATGCGCCACGGAGACCTGCTGCATTTCATCCGCTCGCCCCAGCGGGTCGGTGCTCGGGGGCCCTGGGCCGGGGCCTGGGGCAGCAGCTGCGGCCAGAGCTGCGGGGCCCCCGCCTACCCACCTACCCACCTACCCACCTACCTGTGCTCACAGAACCCCACAGTGAAGGACCTCGTCAGCTTCGGCCTGCAGGTGGCCCGCGGCATGGAGTACCTAGCTGAACAGAAGTTTGTCCACAGGGACCTGGCTGCTCGGAACTGCATGTGAGGAACCTGAGCAACTAGAGAGGGGGACACAGCAGCAGGGTGTGCCTAAAGGCACCCCAGGGAGGGGCCCTGAGCTTCCCCCTCTGGGCCTCGCTTTCCCTGTCTGCCCCGTGCGGGCTTAGGCTGAACGCCATGGCTCTGGACCCTGAGAAGGCCTGGAACAGGTGTGTTCAGGGCCTGGTGAGGCCGGTGCTGAGTGTGATCCCCCATGGCCAGGCTGGATGGGTCATTCACGGTCAAGGTGGCTGACTTCGGCCTGGCCCGCGACATCCTGGACAAAGAGTACTACAGCGTCCGCCAGCACCGCCACGCTCGCCTGCCTGTCAAATGGATGGCGCTGGAGAGCCTGCAGACCTACAGGTTTACCACCAAGTCTGACGTGGTGAGGCCCCCACCTGCCTGCAGGGCCTCGTGTCCTGGAGAATGCTCAGCCTTGCCCATTCGGCCCCAGCTGAGGGTTCGAGCCCAGCAATCCCCAAACCAGGCTCCCCCACAGCCCCTGCAGGCTCTGGGCAGGTATGAGATACAATGTGACATCTGCCACGGCCCCACACCAGCCACAGTCCCAAGGGAGGCCGGTGGCAGGTCTCATGTGGGACTGAGGGGTGGGCTCTATTTGCGAGCTAGAGGACTTGGGGCTCCCCTGCCCCAAAACCTGGGGCAAGAGCTGAGTCCTCTCACCTTCTGCCTCCCACAGTGGTCATTTGGTGTGCTGCTCTGGGAGCTGCTGACACGGGGTGCCCCACCATACCCCCACATCGACCCTTTTGACCTCGCTCACTTCCTGGCCCAGGGTCGCCGCCTGCCCCAGCCTGAGTACTGCCCCGATGCTCTGTGAGTTCTGGTGGGTGGCTGCCCACTGGCTGGGCCTCAGTGACGGGGAACCCAGGAGACTGTTCCCTGGCTCTCTGGCCTGCAAAGGGACCCTCTCTTGGCCGCAGTTTCCCCATCCGTGGACTAGTTCTGCCCCCACGTGGGTCTGGGTGCTGGGCGGGGTGGAGGTGGGAGAGAGAGAGAGAGAGAGAGAGAGAGAGAGAGAGAGAGAGAGAGAGATGGCCAGTCGCCATGGCGACGGCATCCCCAGGCAGTCAGGTGGAGGCCAGTGATTCAATTTCCCAGCTCTCCTCCCCCCACCCACTAAGGGGGGGCCTGTTTCCCATCTTTCCACTCCCTTAACCTCAAAGAAAGCACCCATCAGCCCCCGCGCTGGTCCCCCATGTCTCCAGACCAGGTCTCTTCCACTGGCTATACGTTCAGACATCCTGTGGACTCCGGGCAGTGGAAAGCAGGGTGAGCGGGCATGTGGGCCCTGCCAGAAGGAAAGAGGGCTGGCCCAGTGCCCTGAGTTGCAGCCCTCCCAGGCTGGGCCAAGGGGCCTGGGGTGGCCCTGTGTGGGCTGCCTGGCTAACTGCCCTCTTGTGGGCCCCGCAGTGTATGGAGCAGCTCCCGGAGCAGCTTCGGTGCCGCCTGCCTGAATACGTGGTCCGAGGCTCCCAGGGGTGGGTGCCAGGGAACCTGAGTGCCTGGGGGGACGGAGCGGCTGGCTTCACGCTGCCGGGCTTTCGCTTCCTGCCCCCACCCCACCCACCCAGCACTGACCTGGCCCCCCTGAAGCCTGAAGAGAATGCCATTAAGTTCGAGGTGAGTAAGGGATAGGGGGCGGGGATGCTGAAGGGTTCAGGCTGAGGCCTGCTGGAAGGGGAGAGGGCACGGCCAGTCCTCACGTCTCTGCAGTACATCGGGCTGGGCGCTGTGGCTGACTGCGTGGATGTGAACGTGACCGTGGGCGGTACGAGCTGCCAGCACGAGCTCCGGGGGGATGTGGTCGTCTGCCCCCTGTCTGCCTCCCTGCAGCTTGGCATGGACGGCGCTCTGCTGCAGGTAGGCAGCTCAGTTGGCCTCCCCGGGAGACGTGGGGCACGGCCTGCAGGCTGGGCCTGAGCCGCCACCTGCCCACAGGTCTGCGTGGATGGTGGATGTCACTTGCTGGGCAGGGTGGCACGGCTGGGCTCCGAGGGGGTCCCGCAGAAGACACTCCTGGGCATCCTGCTGTCCCTGCTCTTGCTTGTGGCTATACTGGCCACCGTGCTGATCCTCAACTCCCAGCGGAGGAAGCAGCTGGGTGAGCTCGCCACCCCCTCCTGACTCAGCCCCTACCCCCCGATGGTGGCATCTTGGGTTCCCATAGCCTCTCTCTGCCCAGGCTATGGGCATCTGCCTGGGTACAGTCTGGCCTCTAGGAGCTTGGCGAGGCGGACCACCAGCAGGTGTCTTTCCACAGCCCTTCCCCTGAACCCCGAGCACCTGGCATCGTTGGAGCAGACGGGAGCTGTGCCCCTGCCTGTCCTGGGCTCAGGCTCTGACTACAGAGGAGGCTTCGGTGAGCTGGTGGAGGTGCCGGAAGCTGGGGCCGTACCCTCTGCTGCACAAGCCCCTAACTCCTTCTCCACTGCAGCGCCTGGCACTGACGGGCCGGATTCCACCCCTCGGGGCCACAAAGCATGCTGCTCAGACAGTGGGGATGGGGCCTGCGTCCCACTGCTGCAGACCGAGTCCACCCAGCTTGGGGACCTGGACCCTGCGCTCCTGGCTGAGGTCAAGGACGTGCTGATTTCCCATGAACGAGTGGTGACCCACAGTGACCAAGTCATTGGCAAAGGTGTGAGGGGAGGCGGGCGGGGCTGGGGCACAGGTGGAATTGGAACAGATGGAACAAGGCTCAGGGGACCGTTGGGCAGCACCCTGCTCTGGCCTTCTCCCCAGCCTATGACCTGGGCATATCGTGTGACACCTGCTTCCTCCGTCTGCTCATCTGTGACCTAGGAATTAGCTCTGTGGGCCCTGCTGCAGGTTAAGTGGCACAAGGGCTGCAGGCTCTATGGCCATGCAGGGAGCTGCTTGCTATCTGTGTCAGCCTGGCCTGTTGGTGCTCTCAAATCTGGTGGCCAGTGAGAGGGTATGGTGCCAGACCCGGGCACTGGGGCCCTCTCTCCCTCTCCCCCTTCCCAGGCCACTTTGGGGTTGTCTACCACGGAGAATACACAGACGAAGCTCAGAACCGAATCCACTGTGCCATCAAGTCACTGAGTCGTGAGTGGGGCCGAGGTGCTCCCCCCGGGGCAGTGCTGAGCGGCCCTGAATGGGAGACTTTGCTCCTCCACCTCCCTGGCAGACCCTGGGAGAGGGGCGCCCTGCCCTGGGCCTGACCCGCGCTCTCTGCAGGCATCACGGAACTGCAGGAGGTGGAGGCCTTCCTGCGTGAGGGGCTGCTCATGCGTGGTCTGCACCACCCAAACGTGCTGGCCCTCGTCGGTATTGTGCTGCCCCCTGAAGGGCTGCCCCTTGTGCTGCTGCCCTATATGCGCCACGGAGACCTGCTGCATTTCATCCGCTCGCCCCAGCGGGTCGGTGCTCGGGGGCCCTGGGCCGGGGCCTGGGGCAGCAGCTGCGGCCAGAGCTGCGGGGCCCCCGCCTACCCACCTACCCACCTACCCACCTACCTGTGCTCACAGAACCCCACAGTGAAGGACCTCGTCAGCTTCGGCCTGCAGGTGGCCCGCGGCATGGAGTACCTAGCTGAACAGAAGTTTGTCCACAGGGACCTGGCTGCTCGGAACTGCATGTGAGGAACCTGAGCAACTAGAGAGGGGGACACAGCAGCAGGGTGTGCCTAAAGGCACCCCAGGGAGGGGCCCTGAGCTTCCCCCTCTGGGCCTCGCTTTCCCTGTCTGCCCCGTGCGGGCTTAGGCTGAACGCCATGGCTCTGGACCCTGAGAAGGCCTGGAACAGGTGTGTTCAGGGCCTGGTGAGGCCGGTGCTGAGTGTGATCCCCCATGGCCAGGCTGGATGGGTCATTCACGGTCAAGGTGGCTGACTTCGGCCTGGCCCGCGACATCCTGGACAAAGAGTACTACAGCGTCCGCCAGCACCGCCACGCTCGCCTGCCTGTCAAATGGATGGCGCTGGAGAGCCTGCAGACCTACAGGTTTACCACCAAGTCTGACGTGGTGAGGCCCCCACCTGCCTGCAGGGCCTCGTGTCCTGGAGAATGCTCAGCCTTGCCCATTCGGCCCCAGCTGAGGGTTCGAGCCCAGCAATCCCCAAACCAGGCTCCCCCACAGCCCCTGCAGGCTCTGGGCAGGTATGAGATACAATGTGACATCTGCCACGGCCCCACACCAGCCACAGTCCCAAGGGAGGCCGGTGGCAGGTCTCATGTGGGACTGAGGGGTGGGCTCTATTTGCGAGCTAGAGGACTTGGGGCTCCCCTGCCCCAAAACCTGGGGCAAGAGCTGAGTCCTCTCACCTTCTGCCTCCCACAGTGGTCATTTGGTGTGCTGCTCTGGGAGCTGCTGACACGGGGTGCCCCACCATACCCCCACATCGACCCTTTTGACCTCGCTCACTTCCTGGCCCAGGGTCGCCGCCTGCCCCAGCCTGAGTACTGCCCCGATGCTCTGTGAGTTCTGGTGGGTGGCTGCCCACTGGCTGGGCCTCAGTGACGGGGAACCCAGGAGACTGTTCCCTGGCTCTCTGGCCTGCAAAGGGACCCTCTCTTGGCCGCAGTTTCCCCATCCGTGGACTAGTTCTGCCCCCACGTGGGTCTGGGTGCTGGGCGGGGTGGAGGTGGGAGAGAGAGAGAGAGAGAGAGAGAGAGAGAGAGAGAGAGAGAGAGAGATGGCCAGTCGCCATGGCGACGGCATCCCCAGGCAGTCAGGTGGAGGCCAGTGATTCAATTTCCCAGCTCTCCTCCCCCCACCCACTAAGGGGGGGCCTGTTTCCCATCTTTCCACTCCCTTAACCTCAAAGAAAGCACCCATCAGCCCCCGCGCTGGTCCCCCATGTCTCCAGACCAGGTCTCTTCCACTGGCTATACGTTCAGACATCCTGTGGACAGTGCCAGCTGGAGCACTGCATCCCGGCTGTGCCCGGGCGTCTGGGGTTAGGACGGGGGAACCAGCTCACAGGTGACAGTGGCGGATTCTTGCCTCTGCCCCCTCACAGCCCTGCTGACCTTGGGTTTGGTCTTGCTGTTTCACTTCACTAATGCATCTGGTTGGCAAGGAGGGAGGTGAACCTCACTGGCTGTCTGCCTCCAGTCAGCCTCCCAGAGACCAGCACCAAGATGGAGGTTTTTGTGCAGGGGCTACTGGCAGATTGGGGCTGGGGATGCAGGACTGTAGAGAAGGTGGGCTGCCATGTCACAGCCCCCCGCCCCCGGTGGCCCTTCACAGTTCTCTGAAATTGGGACAGAGGGGCCAGATCTTTGCACCAGACCTTATGCAGTCACGGACCACGACTGTCCCTGGGGAGAGAGTGAGCTGTCAGAGGCAGTTCTTGTCTGCTAGGGTGACTCCTGGGGGGATGCTGAGGGTCTGGGAGACACACCACTGCATCCACTCCCCTGGGGCAGGTCCTCCTCCTCTCTGGGCCTCCGCCTCCTCATCTGCAAGGTGGACGAAAACAGTAGCATCCTCCATGACTCTGAGAATATATGAGTTTATGGTGTGCAGGATTTAGAGAGTCATTTAAGGCAAGGGTGACATTCCCAAGAAAAAGGGGCATGCATGTGCCCCACACATCTGCATTTCTGGACTTCAGTCCCCATTTCACTGGCCCCAGGCTTCCCTCCTGGAAGATGCGTGATGATAACCATGACGCCTGAGCTGGTCCCTAAGCTAAGCACTTCACACGCATCCTCCCACGTGTCGGAGGAGGAGCCGGAGGCAGAGAGGCTGAGGGACTTGCCCAAGGTCACAGGGCACAGGAGCCTGAGGCCTTAACCTTGGAGACAACTGGACCGTTACCTGGGCAGGAGGCGGTACTGGAGCAGCAGGCATGATGGCAAGAAGAAGGCCCTGGCTGGGCAGAGCTAGGCCCTGTCCCTGTCCCTGTCCTTACCCCATAGGGCCTGCCAGGGGGTCAACAGTGGGTGGGCAGCCCAGAGCCTGTGGGTGGGAGTGCGCCCCACCCCTGATGTCGCCTTCCTTGCAGGTACGCAGTGATGCAGCGCTGCTGGGCTGAGGACCCTGCGGTGCGACCCACGTTCAGAGTGCTGGCTGGGGAAGTGGAGCATGTGGCCACTGCACTGTGCGGGGACCACTACGTGCAGCTGCCCGGGGCCTACGTGAACCTGGGCCCTGGTGCCTTAGACGAGGTGAACATGCCCCTGCAGCCGTCCCTGCTCACACCCGAGCGCAGGAGCCCGGGGCAGCCCAGGCCCCTCTCAGAGCCACCGTGGCCCACGTGACTTCAGCCCTGGCAGGTGCTGGTGGCCCGACTACATGCAGGCCAGGGAGTTGCCCTGAACTGGCCTCTGCCCCCATCCCTGCCCCTTATCCTCCAGGACCCGTGGGAGGGGAGCAGTGCCCTGCACAGAGGGGATCTCCAAGGACAGTTCTCGATGTAAAGAGTATTTGGGGAGCACCTCTCGGTGCTCTGCCCACTGGACACAGGGGTCCCACTGTGAACCAGTAAATGAACAGGTGAATATTCAAGCACAAATCGTGGTAAATGTGTGAGGGGAAAAAGCTGCTTTAAGGGAGTGGAGGACCACTTTGGCAGAGAGATGCTCAGAAGGGTAAGGGGAGCCTTCACAGGAGGAGACATATCTGAGGAGACCCTGTCTGGTGGGAGCTGCCAGAGCGGGTTGGAGGAGAGAGTTTTCAGCAGAATCAGCAGCACATGCAAAGACCCTGAGGCTGGAGAGGTGTTGGGGTGGTGGAGAGGCTCCAGAGACCAGGAAGGGCAAGCCCAGATCGAGGTTCCAGGCCCCGGGAAGCCAGGGGGCTGATTGTGTCCCAGGCACACAGCAGCCAGGCAGCTCTCCCAGAGCCCGGGCCCTAACCCCTCTCAGGGTGCCCCCCGCCACCTGCAGCCCCACAGCTGGCCTCACCCACCCGTCCACACTCTCCAGTCAGGGAAATTCGTCCCCTCTCCTGATCTCTAGCAGAAGTGCCCTCGCAGTCTGGGTGGAGACAAGCCAGCAACTGCACTTTCGGGGCGCCAGCTCCAAGGTGCCGACTGCCCAGGCTATTTATACTTGTCTAGGTCACTGTACAATAGCCACTAGATAGGGACGGGCTCCCCGGACAGGGACAGGGAGAACAGCCTCCTTTTGGCACTGCCCCACACCACACCCTCAATGCTGGGCAGCTGGGCCCTGCTGGTGTGCGCAGTGGGGGAGCTGGGGTGACTGGGCCCAGGACACGCATGTGGTGGCTCCTCTCTCTTGCTCAGGACCCCCAGGGCCCCTCTCCCACAAGTTGGGAGGTGCCAGCCTAGCCTTTGGGGAGCAGGCTCCCTCCTGTGACAGCCCTCTGCCTTGTTTGGGCAAGAGCTGCCTGGTAAGCCGAGTGGGGGCTTCCTCGGGACTGGAGCTGCCCGGCTGTTCTCTGCCCATTCTGCTGCCCCCCCTGCCCCCCAGGCGTGAGGGAGCCCAGCCACGGGGAGCCTGAGGACAGATGGGTAAGGCTTAAAAGGGGCCTATTCTGCTCAAGTGCAGGGGTCCGGAGGTCAGGGGCCCGGGAGCTGGAGAGGTAGAGACGGACTGCCTGCTGCCACACATCTAGCGCCTGCTCGGGGCAGGCTCCGCAGGTTGTCGTCTTACACGCTCAACAGGAGACCTCTTGTCTGTGTGTGGGGAATCAGTTCTGCCACCCTTGCGGCTAGGAGAGAGGTGCATGGAATGACCCGGAACCCCCACAGCTGTGGTCCGCAAATCAGCTGGAAAAGACTCTGTCCATCCCTCCAACTTGCTGTCCCCGTGTCCCAACCTCATCCTGGATCTAAGGGCCACCCAGAGTCCCAAGCCCTGGCAGGGAGAGAGGAGAAGTCCCAGGGGCCTCTCTGGAGCTGGCCTAAAGTTCCTTCCCCTTGAACCTCTGCAGTCCTGGACCACTGGCTCACCTGGCTCAAGAGATGGGGGGTCTCTGGATGAGGGGGGCTTAGTGAGGAGAGGGGTCCCAGAGACAGGAGGTGGAGCAGAGCTCATGGGGTGTCTGCTTTCCTGGGGGCCAGGCTGTGGGGCTCTCTGGGTTCTGGAGAGAGGGGCCCAGTTAAGCAGGTGCCTGGGCTCCTGGATCGTGGCACAGCTACGCCTTGGTGCCCGTGTTGCAGCCCCCGAGGTCTGATCTCTGTTCCCAGAGCCCGCTGAGAGTCACAAGTCCACCCGGAGTGTCAGGACCTGGAACAGCTTCAGGGGTTCAAATTCTTGATGGGGCCACCAGGGAGCAGGGGCTGGTCCTAGGCCGTCAGACGGGTGGGGGAACCAGGAGGCATTGAGTGGCTTCCTGTGCTGCTGGAGGCTGGGCTGCCTTTTCCCCGGCCGGGCCTTGCCAGTGTCTCGGGGATGGTATGGGACCAGCTGAGCGGAAGGTTGCTGGTGCTCATGGTGGGCCTGGGCCTGCCAGTGGGGTGGGAGAGGTGAGCAGAGGTCTCTCCTAAGGCTTCGGAGATCCAGCTCTCCCACCAGGAGCTGCGGAGGGCAGGCACCAGTGCCTCCGCCTCACCTCTCTTCACCGCAGCCCAGTGGGCTGGGGGCCAACAGGTGCCAGTAAAGGCTGGAGGGAGGCCTGCAGGGGAGCAGCAGATGACTCACACCCTCCTGACTGCCCATCGGTGGCACTGTTGTCTGGCACCTGAAGGGCATGCACGGGGTAGAATGACCTGCTTTGAAAGGGACCGTGAGCCTGGGCTGAGGTCCCAATGCCTCAGTTCCAGCCTTGTAGGGACTTTTCCGAGGGACCCAAAGGCCCTCTGGGGGATCACCACTGAGGGCTGCAGATATTCGAAACTCTGGGGCCTTCCTGGGACAGTGTCCTCACCAGTCACTCCCTCACTGCAGCCCGTGAGGCCCTGAATTACCTCCCTTCCCCTGCAGGAGAGAGCAGGGCTGCCAGTGCTGGGTGGGGTGGGCTGCGGGACAAGGGTACTCCTGGGGGGGTGGGAGGCTCACTCCCATCTGGCACAGTGGGGCCAACTGGGCCTCAGTCTCCCTGTCCACCCTTCAGGGTTTGTTCTAGTCGGGGGTTTTAACCCAGTGAGCAAAGGTGCCAGGAAAGCCTGGTGCTGCCAGTCCCGCGTGTGGCTGTGGAGGTCCCTGGCCGGCCTGGTGCTGCCCGCCTGAGGATGGCGGCCTGGAGTGCAGCCTCCACACGCAGGCCTCCCCTGGTGGGAGGCCTTGGCCCAAAGCTAGGCAGCAGGCACCCAGCAGGTGGCAGAGCTTGCCCAGCCCTGCTCAGTCCAGAGGTGTGGCAGCTGGTCCCGGCTACTTGCTGCCGACACCCGTGGATACCCTCTGAAACAGTGGCTCCCCCTGCAGCCCTTTCCCATCAGCCCGTATGAGGCAGGACTTCACAGCCCCGCTCGGAGGAGGGCGGCCCTGCTGTGGAGCCCCCCAAAGCCTCTGTGTCCCGCTGCTCCTTAAGTACCCCGGGCATCCTTTGCGCCTGGTCCCAGGCTGTCCGCACCCAGCCTCACAGGAGCCGCCCTGGGGAGAGCAGCAACACAAACAAGTTCGTCCTCCTGGGTAAGGTCGCGGGGCCAGGCCAGCTAGTGGCCCTGACAGCCTGCCCTTGGCCCTCGGTCCCCTGCTGCTCTGTGGGAGCCCAGGGCCGGGCCCATGGTGGTTCCTGTTCTGAGCTCCCATTTGAGGTGACGGGAGCTGAGAGAAGTGGCTGAGCCCCTGGTCTCCACAGAGGCAGAGAGAGCACAGGAGGCCCCCGATGCCAGGGGCAGCCTCGCCTCATCCCTCTCTGCACCCTTTCCTGTTGGTTTAGCCACCTACACACTGTGGCAAGTCCCAGACTGGGCCCCTGGGGTCTGGAATGCATCATGGAGAGCAGGGGACCCAAAGCAGCGGGATCTGATCAGCTCTGAAGCCGGCGCTCCCTCCCTCATGCCGCAAGCCCCCACCCGGCTCCGGGGGGCTAGAAGACTGGAAGGCCCCAGAGGGGTGGCTGTGGCCCTGGGCTGGGGCAGCAGCAGCTCCAGCCAGGCAACCGTCCTGCTGCCAGGCTGTTCCCCCAAGCTGGGGGCCTCTCCGAGGGAAAGCCCTGGTCCCTGGACCCACAGGGGCTCCTGCCCTGGTCTCAGACCTTCCATGGGGCCTGGGGCCTCCAGGGACCTAGGGGAGGGAAGCTCTTCTCACACCCCATCTTCGGGCTTGGTGGAGGTTCCGGCTTGGCGGTCGAGTTCCCTGTTGAGTCCTATATGCTCCTGGCAGCATTTCTCTGCCCCACCTCGGGGGGCTCCTGGGCAGGGACTGCTCCAGGGAGGGTGAGGGGCTCGCCCCCGCCCTCCCCCTGCTGTGGCAGCATCAGGGTGCTGTACCCTTGCCCGCCCTGCAGGCTGGCACGGCTGGCCGTCTTTCACGCAGAGTTACGTAAGCTTGAGTCAATTGGAGCTCGGAGCAGTTCATTGTGGGCTATTTTAAGCTGTAACACATCACAGCAGAGGGGTCACTGTGCTGAGGTTTGCAGGGAAGGTTGTTTAAACATCTGTTATTTAAATTTCCCTATGCCTTAGGGCCCCAGAGCCACGTCCTCAGGCACTCTGGGGTTCTGCCTTCCACAGCCTGGGTTAGGAGGGATTGCCTCCCTTCACCTCCTAGTGGGGGTTCTCTGCCCTTGGCTGTCTTCCTCTGGGGCCGGAGGGCAGGAGGGAAGAGGTGCCGGGTCCTTCAAAACATGGTGTCGCCTCCATGGATGGGTGCACCCTGGCCGGGAGGGACTTCAGGAAACAGGACATCACAGGTCCTTGAATAGCTCCAGGGAGGAGGGTCAGGAGGGGAAAACACAGGCAGAGCCCCAGGTGGAGCTGGGGGACAGCAGAGGGCACCCTTCCTCCTCGGGGGCCTCGATTTCCCACCAGCACCCGAGAGGCTTGAAGCGCGAGGTCCTCTTGGGTGTCCTCAGAAGCCTGCCCTTGCCTGGGCTGTGCTCCTGCCTGCACACCTCTGCCACATGTAGGTGCTGGCCCTCGGTGGCCCCTAGGGCAGCGGGCTGGCAAGTGGCCCCGGACACTAGGCAGGGATGGGCCTCTGGGAGCTGCTTTGCTTTTCACTTGTTACCAAGGGGTTGCCCCCTGGGGGCCCTCTGAAGGTCCTTGTGATCCTAGATCTTTGGAGATGTCCAGACTCTTCCCTGGGCATGAGGAGGGGAAGGCAGGCAGACTGGGAGAGCGCCAGGCCAGGGACTTGGCAGAGCCGCCTCCTGGGAAGGTGGGGCCAAGCCCCGTTAGCTTCGGAGAAGTGGGGCTGGCAGCCGCAGCTAGTCACTGCTCGCCCAGGAGAATGGGGCCTCTGGGCCTCCTCTTGACGCCCTTCCTGCCCACCGTCCTCGAGGCCTCCTGGGTGGGAGGACTCCAGCCTGACCCGCAGAGAAGAAGGGCCTCTCAGAGAACTGTGCCTCTCCCCGCGTCCTGAAGTCTGAGCCTGTCTATGGAGCCCGGGGTCTTCCCCCAAGCCTGCCCAGACAGGACCAGTCCGGCAGGGGCGGCCACACGGGGACCTGCCCTCACAGAGCACCCGTGTCCAGCTTCACCCACAGACTGAGCCCCTCCAGCCCAGAAAGCCCTCGGCCTGGGGAGTGGGCGCAGCCTTGGGAGGGGCTCTCCAGTTTGCCATGGCAACATGTTGGCCCTCCTCATGTCCCAGAATCAGAAATAGAATTGGTGCCCTTCTTCCTGGTGAGAGACTATTTAAAAACACAGAGGGGGAGGGGCACAGTGGCAGTGCCCCAGCCTCCCCAGCTGCCCTGCTGCCCCTGCCCTCAGCTGGGGGAGATGGGCCGGGCCCAGGTCAGCCAAGAATTCTGAGCACAGAGGACTTGGCCTGGTTGCATAGGCTGCGTGACCGTCCCCTACTCAGCACAGCCAGGCTCCTGGAGGGGCACCGACTTGTGGTGCCAGTGGGAAAATGCCCCCGCCTGGGCCTGAGCCACCTGCTAAGTTCTTGGGAGGAGGAGCAGGCCCCAGTGGGACACGGCATAGGTGGGGGCTTGGGGCAGCGGCTCCCAAGGTGTGTGGCTCCCTTCCAGCAGGGCCTGTGCTCATGCGCTGCGTGTGGCCCCCGCTCCTGGAGCGGGGGTCCGCGGCCTGGAGGCCTGCCTCCACGTTCTGGTTCTCTTAACTCTCTGGTTGGGATCTTGGAATTCTCTCTCCTCTCTGGCCTTGGCTGCCTGACCTGTTAAGTGAGGGTGCCAGTGCTGGCTCAGTGAATTGCTGTGAGGCTGGTTCTGCGAGCTGGCACTGCCGGGCACAGGAAGGCCCGTCACTATTGCTCGTGTTCTTATTGCCTTCGAGGTGTGGCTGCACAGGTGGGAAGGCCTACTCCCTCCAGACTGCCCAGCTCAGACCTTTCTTCGTGGCCACACCCTTCAGCCAGCCTCGCCCTGCCCCAGGATACTTAGGGCCACGGGCTCTTGGTGCCCCCACCATGAAAAGGAGGGTCACGCCTCACTCCACAGGAGGTGCGGGGGCTGCGTGCTCAGGCAGGGTTCTCTCAGGGCTTCCCTCTACACCTCCCCAGCTGCACAGGCACCAGACGCTGCTTCCAACCTCTGTGTCCTGGGGGAAGAAGTTTGCTTGAGGCCAGATTAACTCAGAAGTTAATAGCATTCAGCAAGTGTGTGTGTGTGTGTGTGTGTGTGTGTGTGTGTGTGTGTATCCACTCGTGCAGGCTGCAGACTCTGGCTCTGCTGCCTTCCTGGGCCGTAGTGTGTGCGCTTCTGGGCAGCTGTGCGCACAGACATCACCCCATCGTTACCTGGAGGCCGCATGGGGAAGGGGCGAGGTCCAGGGGGCTGAGATGCGGCTGGGCGGGGAAGGCACAGAGGTAGCACGGGGCCAGCCTTGGTCCCTGGTCACGTGACTTCACACCCCACAGCCAACTGTAAGCACTATTTTTAACCTCTGTGAAAACACACTGCTTCAGAGGACATGCCCATAGCTGCATTTTCTGCACACCTCTTTCCTGGGCAGGAAGACTGAGGCCAGAAGGAGGAGGGAGGACAGAGGACACTCAGAGCTCATGGGCTGGGGGGCTGCGCCTGGCCTGGGTCAGAACCACCAGACCAAGGCCTGTGTCAGGGAGTGCTTCCTGCACTACCCCCTAGGCCTGTCCTCTGTAGCTGCCAGGCATGGCTGGGCCTGAGCTGGGGGGCCGGGTAGGCCCCGCTCCTCCCTGCCCCTCTGTTGGCCCATCTAAGAAGCAGAGGGTAGAACTGCCTACTTAGTCTAATGCTTACATTTCCTGTGTGCCCACACTGGGCCCAGTCCTGTGTCCAGCGTATCTGCCTTGTTTACACAGCTGTGTCCCATGTTCCCATGCACCTGCCACACCCGTGGGCCCCTGTGTGGATGGCCCTGTAACCACTGTGACCTGTCCTATAATTGTCACCTGACTGGCTCTGGGTCCACTGTGGCCTAGCCTGTGCCCAGTGTTCTGCCCCCCACCCCCTTCAGGCCAAGGTGAAGCTGGCACAGTGGGACAAGAACTAGAACATTCTGACTTGAGGGTTCTGAGCAAGGCTCCACCACCGCCTGTTGCCCACATCCCCACCTCTGTGGGATACTGGTCCTGGGCTTCCAGGACATGTGGCTCTGGGGAGGGGGCTCTGTGAGGCACAGGCAGAGGAGAACCATCTGGAGCAGAAAGACTGCCAAGGAGATGCTGTCCCTGGAGCAGGACCAGGGAACACGGCGGAGGGGAGTGTGGGGCTGAGATGGGCCCTGGCCCTCCTCTGCCTCCCGGGTCTGAGTGGCGAATGGGGTTTTGCCTCCAAAGGGCCTTGTGTCACACACTTGGACCTATGTCCCTGGGGCAGGGCTTACGTCTCAAGTTCCCATGGAAATGAAAAGGAAGAGCTAGGTTTGGCATCTGAGGTAGATGGGGGACCCAGGACTTCCTTGGGGTCTCCTCTGCCTCTCCAGTTCCCCTGGCCTGGCATTGCCACCCCACCCTGGGCACCGCCCTTATGCTAGGCCTGGCCTGACCAGAGTGGGCATCTGGCTGGCAAGGAAAGAGGATGCTGGCTGAGGGCTCCTGCGCTTCCACCCCTGTCCCTGGGCCTTTGTGTCTCCCTAGAATCCCCGGGTAACCCCCATTCCTCACGGGGCTGGGGCCCCTGGCTTCCCACACTCTGGCACCCCCGCCCCCCGCCACTGGAGGCTGTGATGTGTGGGGTCGCTATGGCAACAAAGTGGGGGCAGGGCATCTAGAGCATGGGACGGGACAATGGAAGCCACTGAGGTGGGGGGCCCCAATCCATCAGACCCCCAGGGCCATCTCTTGCTCAGTAGCCAGCAGCTGGGGGGTGGTCTCAGAGGGTCCCAGGGACCAAGGACAAACTCAGGATACTTCAGCCAGGGGTTGTCATTATCCACCGAGCCCATCACTGATGGTACCTGTGGCCCAGCCTCCCAGGCCCACCCCGCAGAGCCCATTCATCACCTACTCTGGGGCCCTGCTGAGGTCAGTTCCCAGTGGGACTATGAGCCGGCTGCCCAGGGTGCCCTGAGGCTCTCCACCAGCCCATTTTCAAGCCCCATCACAGGAACCCAAACGCATCTCACAGAGAGTAGGACCCTGGCCCCACCTGTGTGCATGCACAGTGACAGCACCAGTGACACGGCCCAGCATGGGCCCTTCCAGCTTCAGACGCCTGTTGTGGGGGGTGGCAAGGCTCCTGCTAAGGTCTTGATAGGCTGGGGCAAAGGCTACTGCAGCCCCAGTCAGACTGCCCCCTCAGGCAACAGGAAGAGCCAACGGCTACCCTGTCTCCTTTCCAGGGTGGAGGCCGCTGCGGTCCAACCAGGACCAGGCCAAGCGCTCACATCCAGCTCCGGATGCAACCCCAAAGCCGGCAGCACTTGAACCTTACACCTGCAGCCCTGGCTACCCGGCTGATACCTCTGCCATCACCAAGGGCCTGTCCCAAGACCTCCAGCTCAGGAAGGGTGGCATCCAAAGGTCAGTCTTCTTGGAGTCTGCCCAATGGTTACCTCCTGCCACGACAAAGTGAATTTCTGTCCTTAGGAGGAGCCTCCCACCCCAGCACCCCTGGCAAAAGACTCCCTGGGCCACGCCCAGAAGCTCGGGGCACCAGAGGGCAGGTGTTAGCCAAGCAGCCTGAGAACCCAGCAGTGAGGCCCCTGATGTATACCTACAGGCTGGGCAGCCCAACACCAGGCCCACGCCCCCCGGGTACCCCCAAGTCCCAGAGAAGCAGTGAGGAGCTCCACAGCTCTCAGCCACACCAACAGCACCCCAGTCACTTCAGCAGCATCTGCTCCACCGCACCGCTGTCCAACTGCCAAGTCACCTGCCACAGGCAACCCTCGGACCCATCTCCCAGGGATGCCATGCAGAGCCCCACCTCCTGCATGCCTACCTGCCGGTGCCAGGATGCTGGGGAAGACTGTGTGCTGGTGTTCAATATGGCCATGGGCAACACGAGGATGGGGGCTGCTGTGCCAGGACCCCATGGGCTCACAGGCGGCACTGGTGGTGCTCCTGCCCTGCCACCCAGCCATCTATGCCCCTGAAAATATGCTGTCCACTTGGCCGTTGCCCATGCCCATCTCCCCTAACAATAATCACTCCAGCGTCCGGCCCACCTCACCCATGCTGTCCAGCCCTGTGCCCCCCAGCCTCTCATCTGGCAGCCACAGAGAGGCGGCCCTGGTTCCCAAGGAGGCCAGGCTCCACCTGGAGTCATGAGACTCCTCCGGTGCTGAGACACCCACCAGGATGGGGGTGCTCACTGAGCCCGTTCCACTAGGAATGCCCCTCCAATTTGCCGAGGCGGTACTGAGCCATGTCCACAGTCCTGGCTGGTCCAACCCTGATGCTGAAAAAAATGAACCTGGTCACGCCATCTGCGTGCTGGGTCCCTCTAGCATGCAGGACACCTCCACAGTACAGCCCAAGAAACTGCAGTGGGTGAGCTCAGAGCAGCCCCCAGACCCTGTTTCACCAGCCCTCACCCAGGAGGCACCCAGATCCCTGCCGCAGGAGGACAGAGACAGCCTCAGCAGGAAAGAAGGCATTACCGCTTGCCCTGACAGCCCTCAAGCTGGGGGCACGGGGCAGGACCCCCTGGGTGGTCGGCCTTCCTCAGTCATGCAACATCCCTTCACCTGACAGCCCTCTCCAACTGGCCAGCCTCTCCCTGCCGAGTGGTGCCCCATTGCCAGGCAGCCCCACCTTTCTGGACAGCCACCTCTAGCTGAGCAGCCCCTGTCCCCCAATCAGCACCCTCTTCCTGGCCAGTCCCCTCTCACCGGGACCCCTCTTACGAGGCAGCTTTCTCTCACTGGGCAGCCTCCCTTTGCCCAACAATACACCATCTCCAAAGAACCATCCTCTCAAGAGGGCCCCCCCAGCAGGGGGCCTGGCCAGGCCTCCACCCTGTGCCAGGAAGGTGAGTCTTTGGGCCTGCCTACCCATGTGGGGGTACTTTGGGTGCCCCTAGGCCCTGAGGAGACCTGTGCCTCTGTGGGCAGAGAAAAGGGGGACATCAGTGCTATCCGAGGCTCCAACACACATCAGCTCTTGTCCTGGCCACCTGGCAGCTCCACTGGGACCCAGGAGGAGCAGCTTTCTCTCATCACAGTCACCACCTCTGGCCCTGGTTGCAAGGTCCTGCCCATGGCCATGGTGGGCACTGAGCCCCAGGAGCCCCAGTTCAAGCTGACAGCTGAGGACCTCACACACTCATCGGTGGTCACGCACCTTGGCCTGCTCCATGGGGCCTGCTATGAGCTGGTGCCCATGGACGCCCTGCCAGTGTGGTCTCCACAGCTCTGCCGCCCCCCACCGGGCCCCCGCCAGGACATGGTGGCCGTGGTGATCGACACAGGCACAGGCTTCACCAAAAGTGGACTGACTGGAGAGGACCATGTCCTCAGTGTGGTGCCTTCATGCGTCCAGCTGCTGCAGTCTCCAGCCCAGGGCCGGCCCGGGTACGCGATGCCTGAGGACTGAGCGGGCTCCCACTCGGTGCTGGATCAAGGAATGGTCTGCAACTGGGACGCACTGGAGCAGCTATGGCAGCACCTGTTCTCCTGCACGCTGGGCATGCAGCCTGAGGGGTTGGCAGTGCTAGTGGCCAATGTGCCCACCTCGCCACACACCACCCGAGAAAAGGTAGCTGAGATACTCTTTGAGTGCTTCCATATGCTGGCCATGCAGACAGTGCATCAGGCCCTGCTGGCACTCTATGCCTATGGGTGCACCACTGGGCTGGTGCTGGGCAGTCCTACGTGGCGCCCATCCTCACTGGGGATCTGGCCCCACTGGACACCGACCGTTGGATGTGGCTGGTGCCAACCTCACCAAATACCTGACTCAGCTGTAGCTAGCAAGTGGCCACTCACCACCCACGGCTAGGCTGGTCAGCCAGATCAAAGAGGCCTGCTGCTACGTGGCCAGGGATATGACAGCTGAGATAGCCCGCACCCAGGCCCAGGCCGGGTGGGCGTCGTGCTTCCAGACAAGCAGGTCATCACGCTGGGCTCTGAGCGCTTCTGCTACCCTGAGGCCCTCTTTCAGCCCAGTCTAACAGGCCTCAACAAGCCCGGCCTCCCACAGCTAGCCCTCCTCAGCGTTAGCCAGCTGGAGGCCAAGCAGCAGGAGCAGCTGCTGGCCAGTGTGGTGCTGGACGGCGGCAGCACTCTGCTCACTGGCTTTCCCGAGCGCCTGTGGCAGGAGCTGGGTCCCGGGCCACTGTGCTGGGCTCCCCCACGGTGCTATTGCCGCCTGGCTTGGAGGCTCCATCATGGCATCCCAGACTCCTTCCAGAACCTGTGGCTCAGCCTCCATGAGTACGAGGAGGAGGGCCCGTGGGCCATCTACAAGTACCGCCTGTGAGCGCATAAAAGTTGTGGTTCTGCTTGTTAGAGCGCTGTGGCGTGTCTTAGGTACGGGGTGGTGTGGGCATGGGTAAGGGGTGCGGGCCCTGGCACTCCCGAGGCACACCCTGCCTCCGCACACTGGAGCTCATGGGCCCTGGCAGTCCTGTCCTCTCCGGAAGGCCCCAGAGCCCCTTGGCTGGCCTTGCCCTGGTCTAGCCTGACCTTTACTGCACCCCAAGGGCAACCACGAAGAGTGGCTGCTGTGGGTTTTGCCCCGTTGCCCTGGCGACAAGCACAATTACCCTTGATTGCCAGCTGGTTGCCATGGCAATTTCAAACATAATGCAATAACCCACACAGCCTGGAGTGAGTCATGAAGGGGGGACAGCCCCCTCCCCTAGCTCCAGAGGAAGAGGCTGCTTGCCCTCCTCTGTCTTGGGCCCTCCACATGGGGCTGCGGTCAGTGACGTGGACAGCACCAGAGCAGTTGTCAAGATGCTTCAGGGCCTGGGGCAGTGGCTGCCCCCAGGGAGGTTCCCCGTCAGAGTCTGGGCTTTTTGGGGAGGTGGCTGGGTAAGGTGGGTACCTCCTAAAGCCTGAACCTTGGCTGGAGCTCTCTGCTGGGCTGACTGGGGCTTCTGCCGGCCACTCGGGACCTGACGGTATGGCAGTGCTGCCCTTGGTGCCCTGGGGAGGAGGGGTGTCAGTGGGGTGTGGGGGTGTAGGTCCTGGATCCTGAGTGGGAGGTACAGCCTGACCTGAGGATGAGGTTCTGGCCTGTTCGTGAGCCCTGTGGGTAAGGAGCTCACACCTTCTCCTGCCTCTCTGTCCGTCTCCTCTGGTGAGAGCCAGAACTTCCAATGTTAGGCTCCTGTGTTTTCCTTGGCCTCCTAGCCTGCGCAGCCCCTGCCCACAGTGGGGCTAGGACGCAGACCTCCTCCGGAGAGCCTCATGGACACTACCAGGCAATGCATGTCTGTGCTAACTGCCCTTGCTCTTTCCCGAACTCTGCCCTGTTTTAAAGAGCCTTCCATTGTCCCTCTGGCCAGGGAGGTGGCTAGAAACCATGAACCCTGCCTTGGCTGGCTCTGAATGGTGGAGGTGGAATAAAGCTTGGTGTCAGCCCCGTCCATGGCTGGAAGAGCTGGGAGGATGGCATTCAGCAGGTGCTTTCTGCCCAGATGGCAGCTAGTGATGGAAGCCGAGACCCTGCCTATGCCTCCCTGGGAGCTGAGGGATGCCCATGTCCCAGTCCCAGCCCTGAGCTCTCTTCCTGAGGCTGCCCTCTCCACACCAGGGAGTGGGGGGCTGCCCTAGGTGGAGAGACTGGAAATGGCCAATGAGGTAGGCCCACTGCAGCCCTTCCAGCCCCTTGGCATGGTCCAGCCTCCTGCCCTGTCCTGCTCACACCCTGGTTCAGCCTCCAGAGCCCTGAGGTCTGTGCCAGGCAGGAAGGGTACTAGCTGCAGCATCCGAGTACATGTGCGAGCAAGCATGCCTGGGTGCACACAGCGTGCAGACGCTCAGCCACGGGCTACCTCTGCACACACGGTGATGTTGCCATCTCCTTCAGCATGCGAGGGCATAGACGCACACATGCGCACGCACACCCGGCCACGTGCTTGCACCCACAGGCACATGGAGTGTGCACGGGACCCAGAAGGGGTGGAGTGTTGCCAGCAGCAGGCAGGACTCTAGCGAGCCCCTTCTCCCCCTGTCTCTAAATCCCCCGTTCCAGCTTCTCCATGCCTGGATAGCCATGACCTTCAGAAAAGACAGAAAACCTGTGTGACATGTGGGATCAGCAAGCCAGGCTCAGCAGCACTGCACAACTCAGAGAAGCATTGTTTCGAGGACAGTGGGCAGATAGCAGGAGGGCCTGAGTGCCAGGCCATTTGTTCACTTTGCAGACATGAACTGAGACCACAGACTTGGGCTTTGCCCTGCAGATGCTCAGCCCTGCAGATGTGGGGCTGCAGATTGGGTCAGCCACTCAGGTTGGGACTTGGAGAAAGGGAAGGCTTTGTAGGTGCCCAGGTGGGTGTGATAGGAGGCTCTACCAGAAGATTCCTACCCCCTGGAGAGGGTGGTGCTGTGACTGAGACCACCCAGAGCTCAGGGAGCCCAGAGCAGGCAGCAGCCAGGCCTGCAAGAGGTGACTCAAAGCCAGGGAAGGACATGAAAGGCTCCTGACATGTCACACATGGAGGGCCTGTGGTTGGGCAGTCATTTCCAGGCCAACTCCCTCAGGGCAGCCACAGGGGCCATGCAGGGGGGACTTGCTCAACATGGCCAAAGGTTTGGCGACCACCCCATCCACCCAGGATGTGGTCAGAGGCTCACTGGAGGGCTGGGGAACAGTGGAGCCTAGCTCCAGGCCCTGAGGAGCCTTCAGATACTGGCCTCAGCACGGTCCTCGGGGCAAGCATTGGGCCTACGTGCCTCCTGACAAGGGACAGAGGCATGGCTAGGGTCCTCCTTGAAAGCGTCTTCCTGGGTGTTTTCAACCTCCTCCCGCCAGAGGCCAGGCCTGGTGGGGTACCTTGGTACTACAGTGGCCCTGTATCCCCATATCCCAGCCCAGGCCTAGATGTGATGCTGCTCATAAAGTGTTCGGAGACGATCAAACTGGGAAGAAAGCAGAGTCTGTCCACATCATGTCACAGGGGACTTTCATAGTTTGGGAAATTCAGTGCCCCTCGGGAGGCTGCAGACTGGGCCAGCCAGTCAGCCTGGGACTTGGGGAAAGGACAGGCTTTGCAGGCGTCCAGGTGGGTGTGACGGGAGGCTCTGCCTGCACCCTCGCACCCTCCCTGACTGCCGGCTCACCACCCCTGGCCAGACGGGGGTGCCGGTCCGAAGGGCAGCTGCCCCCGGGTTCTTCCGCCCTTCGCGTCCGGTTTCGGGAGCTGGGCAGAGCGCCGGCCCCCGGGCGCACCACCTGCCCAGAGCCTCCCGCGCGGCTCCGGGACTCAGGCTGCCCCTCCCGCCTCCCACCGCTACGAGGGGCGTGGGGAGGCCCTCCGGCCTCTGTAGCCCGGTCAGTCCAGGAGCCTGAGGGAGCCTTTGAGGGCCGGGCCGACCGCCCGCTCAGCTCCCCTCGTCCGCCCGCCCTTGAGTGGGGCTGCGGCCTCCGGCTCCGCCGGCCCCGGCGGGGCGGGGTGAGGGAGGCCCCGCCCCCGGCCCGCCCCCGGCCCGGGGTGCGAATCCGGCCGGCGGGCGGCGGGAGATGCTGGAGGTTCGCGAGCCGAGGCGGCTGCAGCTGCGCCGCTCTGCCCGGTGCCCGGAGCGGATCTTGCCCAGCGCGCGCGAGCCCGGCGCCCCGCGGAGCCCGCCATCTCCTGCTGACACCGACCGGCGCTGCAGGTGCGGGGCCTGGGCCGGGTCTCCCGCCCGAGGGTCGGGGCCGCGCGCGGGGGCGCGGAGGACGGGGGCCCAGCGGGGCAGCGCTCGAGGGCTTTGCAGACCGGGGGGTCGCGTGCGGGTCGGGCTGAAAGTTCCCCGTCCCCTCGGACGGCTCGGCGCCCCTGGGGAGCCTCTGAGACTCAATCTCGGGCTAATCGGCGCCTCCCTCGCCGGGCCCCTAATTGTGAAAACACTGACCCTCGAACATTCGTGGTGCCCCAGCGGGGTAAGGGCCGAGCGCTGAGTCGACCCTCCCGACTCCCAGAGCCGCAGTCCACCCTCCCAGCGGTCCCTGAGCCCCCTCCCTCCGCTGAGCAGCCACTAATTTCCATGACAACGGAGAGTTCTCTATGGGCGACAACCTGAGGGGGGCTGGGCGGGGCTGCCGCGGGGTGGGGGAGGAGGCTCCAAGCCCCTGGGGACCAGCAGCCCCCTAGCCGCGATCCAGCTTCCCAGCCTGAACGCGGGGACCCAGCGCCGCGCCGTGGGGGTGGGGACGCACATGCTTCTGCCGGGAGGTGCGGGCTCGGGGCTCACACGTGTGCCTCCCGCATGTGCGTTGCCGAGCCAGCGGGGGCGAGTCAGCAGCGCTGGGGAAGGGGGTCAGGGTGGCACCGCGGCGCAAGCAGAGCCGCTGGTTGGTGGGGTGCACAACCAGCGAGTTTCTGCCTTCCCTAGCCTGTATGTCTGGCAGAGACCCTAGGCTCTCCCAGCCCCCCACAGCTCTGCCAAACTGCTTTTGTCTGCACCCCCTAGGCAGCGCCTGCCCTGCCAGTGTCCCTCCTGGGGAGGGGGCCCTCTGTCGCTCAGTCTGCAACACTCCAGCCCGCGTCCTGCCCCCTCCTCCAAGGCTCAGGCTTTGAGCCCCCCATGACCACCTGGGGAGATCTGGTACCCTTCCCCCAGTTGACTCCCATCAGTTGTAGCCACCTGCTGGGCCCCAGTTTCCTCAATGGGAAATGGCGGCTCCCTTCCACAGCCATTTGCTGTGGACCCCAGGAGCCATAGGCTGCCTTTCCTATAGCTGCTGCTGGCCCTCCTCCCCAGCCCATGTCCAGGCCACCACTCACCAGCACGTGGGCAGTCTCTGCCCTGGGAGAAGGCTGTAGAGCCCATGGTCTCATCAGGGAAACTGAGGCAGCGGTGGTGATGCTGTGTACTTACCCTGTTTCTGGGTTGCTTGCGTACTGTTTCTAGCCTTCCTGACAGTACCACTGTTAGGGAGGGGACGGAGGGAGCAGGGAATTAGGCCAAGCTGCAAGAGGGGCCCTGGGGACCCAAGGCCCAGAGGGGGCAGCAGATGGTGGGGTGTGTGGCTGGGAGCCTGGGCTGAGCTGGGCCAGCCGAGCGGGGCGCTGAGAGGGGGAAGGCAGCCAGGCTTGCAAGCTTCACTTCCACCCGCCCCTTGTCTTCACTGAGCCTGACCTGCCTCCCCTACGCTGGTGGGAAGATGGGGAGAGGGGCGGCCATAGCTGGCCTCTTCCCATGCCAGGTTCAGTGCTGTCTGGGGATAGTGGAGGCTTCGGCCCCAAAGGTCCAGGCACCAGTGGCAGCCCCGGGCCCAGGTGTTCAGAGCACACAGGCGCAGGGACCCCAGAATTCCCACGGAAG